ACAACTGAGAAACACAATGATTTATTTAAGGGAATATTAGGACATTAACAGTCAAATAAAAATATCACAACAAAGAGATTCCAGTTATTATAACATGGTTCAGTAGACTGTGTCTCACAGAAAAGGACGTGATATGGACACTCCTGAATTCCCAACTTAAGAATATTTTCATGTTGCTCAAATGTATCCTAAAAGTTTTTTTTAATCAAAATGACAGCGATTCGCTGCTTGTTTCAAAAGGCTGCAATGTTCTCAGAGAATATAATTCATAAGATTGGGCAGTTAGCAGGCCTTTGTGTATGAAAGAAGAATGAAATGCCACAAGGGTCATCCTCATGGGATCTGGCACGTGCCAGAAGAAAGCTTTCCGCTTCACAGCAGAGTCTTTAGTTCCAGTCAGTGTCCCGCACACTGCAATCTGGAGCATTTTAGAATGATTGAAACATCAGTGAAACTTCAAATGCAGCAGGAAAAACAAGCTCGAAACCCTGGAGCAGATTTGGAAGAAGTAGAAAAAGGGCTGATTAAATTTGTTTTTATAAAGTGGCGGGTTCACTTCCACTGCTTGGGATGTAGGCTGTGAATTGCCCCTGGTAATGTTTGAGATTCCTTAGAAAACCAGAAGTGTTTACTTTACGAAAGAATCCATGGTATGTTGGCAGAACAGAGCATGCTTAAACCTAATACTCTGGTAATAGACTAAAACATTCCTTTTTATGATGACAGAAGAAATCCCAATCCATTTCAAAAAAATAAATTCATGCACACTGGGAACATATAAGTAAGTGTCTTAAGATATCTGCAGCTTGCAATTTTCTCCTTATTTTTAAAAAAAAGTCAGTTTTGTTCGCATTGAGTCATACTCTACAGAATGAGGCGGTTCAGATCTTTTCTGTTTGAGAGTAGACAACATGCCATTTTATTACCATTTGTCCTTGCAAAATCATTTTAGGGGGATTTGTTTGAAAAATTATAAAGTGCTAGGCAGGTGTTTAACGTCAAGTTAAAAACAAGCAAGTGTAAATTTATACATTTTTCATATCAAAGCGAAAGTGAAGCAGGCTAAAGGTAGAGACTATGAACCTTGGTATCCACATTTTGTTCTTGGCTAGATACTGAGCAAATAACCTCAAAGGTTTGCCACAAGCTTTGCTTAATAAGAATACAATGTTCCAGTGGCACAAACGTATGGCGAGAGGTTCAGATTGTATTCAGTCAGCTCAGATTGTATTCCACTGCACTTGACGAGAGTTTAAAAAAGTATTTAATTGAGACTTATTTCCTCAGGTGAAAGTTGACCTCCCCCTCTTTACCCCAATGGTGGATATGGGCTGATTTTAGTATTATACTGTTTCCAGCTCCAGGGCACTGCTGATGAGAGCCCATGCAGCTCCTGTTAACCCTGCAAGCCAAAGTCCTAATGGGTAGGGTGGTCCTAGCTGGACAAGCAGCGGGAAAGCTTGCAAGACAGCAATATCAATGGCAGGCTATGTGGTTTTAGCTGGTTAGACTCCAGCAGTACCTGAGTGCATACTCTGGGGTCGCCCAAGCCTTGGTTCTTGCCAACGTAATACTTTCCAGAACTAGGAAAGCAGGATTTGTCCCTCCAGGTAGAGAGTCCGCATTCCATTCCAATAATGTATCTCTGGGATTTCCATGTGTAGGTGGGATGCATGGAAATCTCAGCTTGATTTGAATACATTTAAGCATGGTGAAGGGTTTCCGCATGTGTCAGAACCCGGCTGTCCAAAAAAAATATTGTTTCCAGCTGACTTAGATGCTGCAGGCCTGCAATGGTTACAGGTCAGGATGAAGTAGGTAGATGTGTTCACAGGGAGTGTGTGTGTGGGAATACAATCCAATTTTTTGTTACACTATCATCTGTAAATGGGCCGTGGCAGAACATGTGCTGTGGTTTATAAATGACAGTGTTAGTAGTTATTTACCATTCCTTTACCTCTTGCCAGGATTGGCACATATTATTCTAAGAATGGAGGCAGTTGACCTTTTCCCAGGCTTCTGGCCATTGACATGGCGAAGTGTGAGAGCGTTTGAGTCCTCTAATATTTTCCTTGTTTCTGATGAAGTATCTTACTTGCATCCAACGATCTATTTAACGGCATTGCTGAGAATTGATTAATTTCACCTAGATGGACGATCTAACCTTGGGAGTCAAGTACTCAGCTGCTCGAGCCTCACCGCAACATATTGCTAAGGTAATAGGTTTGTAAATGTATTATTAAGTGTATTTAATATATTGCAGAGACATTCATTTGATGTCTGAGAGAGTTGAACACGGAATAATTGGCCAGAGAAGGATTACATGTAGGTTGCAATGTTTCTGTGCTTGGAATTGGCTGTTGAGTGCATTGTATGGGTAGGGAGGCCATCAATGAAATACTATCGTAGAACATAATTGGTGCTGATTTGGAACAAAATGTCACAATTGACATGCAACATTGAGGTTTAAAAACTACAGAGAGAAAGATTGTATATTCATAAATCATAACAACTTGCATTTATATAACACGCTTCACATAGGAGTGTTGGATGGGTGAGCAAAGGAGGACATAATACACTAAGAACTAGGGCTGTTGACCTCTGTCCAGGCTTTGTCTTTGTTGTTTTGACATAATCACAGATGAGAGGAATCCAATGTTCAAAAATCTTTTTCGGTGAGATTTCTTAATAAAGTGAGTGGTATCATTCTGGTAAGAAAATCCTGGAAGCTAGGGAGTTTTATCTCGGGAGTTAGTTACAGTAAAAACATTATTTTTTTGACTTGGTGTTTGTAGAAGATGGGTCCTGCTTTTAATACAACTGAAAATTCCCCTGTTGCATTTGCAGAGCACAAAGTAACACCTGTCCATTTCAAAGCCAATTCCATCATAAAGCCCATTACCTAATTTTCAGAATAGTTAAATGGATCATCTAGCAGCAAATAATAATGATAATAAAAATATTAATCTTGCATATGAACACCACCTTTCACATCAGGGGGATGTGAAAGCACTTCACAAGATTTACTGTAAAGCGTAGTGACCATGCTATTTATAAGCGAACACAACAACCAGTTTGCACATGCAATGTCCCTCAAATAGCTAGTGACTTAATAATTTTATCTTGGGGATTGGTGGCCAGGACAGCGGGAGAAACTCCCTTCTCTTTTTGAAATGTTTGTGATCTTTAATGTTCACCTAAAAAGGCAGATGGGAGCTTGGTTTAATATCCCACTGCATTGGAGTGTCAGCCTAGATTTATTCCTGACATGTGGCTTGAATCCACAACCTTCTGACTCAGAGGTGACTGCTACCAACAAAGTTTTCAATAAAATCAAGGTTCTAGGAAATGGCAATGAAGTAAAAATTTCTACGAATTCACCAAAAATATCCGAGTACACTATTTGTTCCAGGAAGCTGCCCAAAAATGTTGGATGTGAAATTACAGGCCTGAAAACAGCACTGAGAAGATGTCTGCTTTGTCTAATTTTGCACATTTTGTTTTTGCTACTGCATTAAGTTACCCCAGCACAAGTAGTGTTCCAAGATGGCAGTACCAGTCTGTGGGTTAAATTTAAATTATCAGTAAATGGAAAAAAAGCACAGTAATCCTTGTACTAATCCTCTTTAGTAAACTTGAAGAATAAAAATAGTAACGTATAAAGAAAGAAAACACTGAATATGCCAGTCGCCATGCAACAGCACTTGAAGGACGGTGATGTAAGCAAATTCACTTTTCAAAGAAGAAAGCCTGTATCCTGGCCAACAATCTGTCAGATAAATTGGTCATCGTTTCTTTGTGGGACATTTCTTTGCACACATTGGTTGCCATGTTCATCTTCAAATATTTACACAGACTGCACGGAATGAGGTCATTTTGCCCAATCAATCCATAATCCATACCAAGTTTATACCCGGGTCTCCCTGTGCAAAAACAGTGCTTTCTTATTCCATATAAGGATATTATTTAAAATGTAGACTTGTTCACAATATTTATGAGAGTCAATTTACAGCTGATGTCCACTGGCTCAATAAAGGGCTATTTAACAGTTAAGAAAAACTGTTCCAAATGTTAAAACATGCAACAAAAGGAATCAGAAGGTGTTTCTTGCACTTTAAATTGTATGCTGATGATATTTCAGTGATTGGTTCAGAATGGAAACCTAGAGCAATGACTATCCAAATTAATTGACATAAAAGTACAGCACTAAACTATACTGGCAGAAGCCAAACTTGATGTAAGTAGAGATATAATAGACATTTCTATGACGTGATAAGGAGCTTTATCAAATGCAAGGATTATTATCAAAAAAAGTGTTCAGGGTTTCTTTGTGATTACCAAAATGAGATTGCACAGAGTAACAGGAATGCACTGTGCAGTTTGTACCCTTTCCAAAATTGTATGGCAGCTGTTCATGCCTGTACTCAAGAACAATTACAATACAAAAATTACATTTGTAAATCCCCTTTCACATCGGGAGGACTTCCCAAGCTGCTGAACAGTCAAGGATTAGGACCTGAGCAGTGGGAGGGGTGTGAGGGGGAGTTGGGATCAGTGAGGCTGGAGGGCAGAGAATGTAGAAGGGTGGCCAAAGGCATGGTCGAAGAGGACCAGAGCCATCTGCATGTTTAGTGTTCACATTCTGACTGTAACATGCTGAAGACATGTTCCTCAAATGGGATTAAACCAGGTAGGAATTCTGTGTCACTGTCACAGGAAACGCTGTTACTCCACATGTTGTGGGTTAACTAAGGCATTAAAAGCTGTGTCAGGAAACGAGACGTACTGACCGTGAAGAGAATTAAATGCAGTAAGTTGTGTATTTTTATTTGTTTTCATTGGTCATGCCTTTTTGGCACAATTTGAAGTAACTGTTCTGCTAATTCAGCCCACCTGGAGCCTGTGGGTCTGGATATGTTTTGGGTATGAGTTGAGAGAGCCAACAATTAGATACACTTGTCTACTTTTTGCTAACCAGAAATGTTTTGTGTTGTTTTCAGACAATGGGAAATTCGTACGCTGGGCAACTTAAATCAGCCCGTTTTGAAGAGGCTCTTCACAATAGAATAGAAGCATCTCTTCGCTCCAACAGTGTTTCTCCTCGACCAATCTTCTCTCAGTTGTATCTGGAGTCAGACAACCCATCTCTCTCCCCTGAAGGTCAATATAAGTTTTAAGCTGTATTGACAATTATTTAAGAAATGAAATAGATCTTTCTGTGTGGGTGTGTATGGTCTGTATTGTTTGTAGTGTGTGTGTTTGAGGCGGAGAATCAGAAATGGTAAGACCCGAGCTGAAATAATAGTTCATTTTATCTTCAATTCTGTAGCTCTCGAACTTTTTGGAAGATAGCACATGCTTTTCTCCACATTGACGAGTTGTTTGCTTTCAAGGCCTATCTGGGAAGGGAGGGAGGGTAGGTGGGGTGTCTTTGTAGCTGAGTTGGTTCCAAGGCAATGTGCTTGGTAACAGAAGGTTGGAATCATGCCAGTGCTCTGTGGCGATCCCAGTAATCTGGTTCTGGTTCCTGAGCCAGGCAAGTCTGCAGTACTCAAGGGCATTGGTAATGATAGTGCTCTCAATGGCAAGTTATGTGATTTTTAGCTGGTTAAACTCCCAACAGTACCCCAACACACACTCTGAGGTCCCCAAGCCTTGTCTCTTGCTAACATGTGCCTAATACTCCTTGAAATTAGCTAAGCAAGGAGAGAGTCCAGGGAAAGAAACTACATTCCATTCCAGGCACAGGAAAATTTCCATGTTTAAGTGACTTACAAATGTGGAACTCTCAGTCTAGTTTGGATACTCTTAAGCATGGTGATGGGCTTCCATATCTGTCAGACACCCGACTGACCCCTCCCCAACAAAATCGCTTTTTCCTTGTTTCTTATTGGTACTTATAATGTGATTCCTGTTTTAAATGAGCTAAGTATTATTGATCAAAGTATTTGTAGGTTGACTACTTATCAAGTAATCATGTAGGCATCAAGTGATCCCCATTGAAAACTTTGTGCCTGAATGCACCAAGAACTGGAATGTGAAGTATATTATCCACTTCGATCCCAGAAAATAAAGACAGTATTGCATCTGACATTAGTGTAACTGTGGCCTGTTTTCTGTGTCTGAATCTATGTGAACAGCCTAGCTCTGTGGAAGAGTGAACAACTGTGACTTAATGTATTGACTTAATGTATCCCGTGATATAAGGCTTTGTTTGAATTTCTTCTTTGTTTTAAAATCTTGGCTGGATCCGTAATTAGATTGAAGTAAGAGGTAGCTGTACTCATCTTAGTAAATATTCAAACCAACATATATTATACTTGTTTGTAAAAATCTGCCTATCCTTACTGCACTGGTAGAGTAGAAGATTTCAAGTGGCTACTGTAACACATGTAAATATTTTGAAGTGCTATAGATATGCAGTAAATGCATCTATTCCATGCTCAGGCCTACAACCACTGACTGACTTGCCAGTAAAGTTAAGAGGCCCTTCTAAACTGTGTTAACACGTGGTGCAAATACATTGACTGAAACATAAAGTGAATCTTATTACTTTAGCCATTCACTTAAATTGCATTACTGTTTCATGAACTTAATTTTGATGAAATTGAATGATGGCCAGTTTGGGATGTGTACTCTTTTGTGTCTCCTCTGAGAGCACAGATACCCATGTCTGAGAGCATTGTGTTGATGTACATGCTGGCTTTCGTCTTCGTGAGTACCTCACCCCTGCAGCTGTTATTGGTTGTTGAGTCTAGATTGTGAATATTGATATGCTATTCAACCAGGGGAGGAGGATTACGGCTGAGTCTTCCCCAATGTTCACACAGATATCACTGTGTTGTTAGGAAGAGCAGAATTTTGGCTGACTGTTTTCGTTCTCCAGTCCAAGGTCTCTGAGGGCACTCAGTTGAACTAAGTTAACAGCACACACCAGAAAGTGGAACATATGAGCTTTCTCGTCTGTATGGCTCAGTTGCACATTGGCTAGTGTCTTTACCAGTTGAGTCATTGGAGAAAGCATTGAGAATTAATACTCATGCCCTGGAGCTGTTTTATTTTAGAAGAGAAATTATAGATGTTTTAATCCCAACATCTTTAGCTCTATAACCTGTGACTTATTTCATTGAGAGGGGGCAATATGCTCCTCCCAGGCTTCTGACCATACATTTGGAATGAATGTATGGTGGGAGGTGTAGACAACCTTTAGTTACCTTTCCTTAGTGCCTCATACTGACAGATTGTTTAACATCAGGAAATGGCTATGTAAGGATTGCATTTAAGATCCGCACTCCTTCGAAGGTTGGTGCAGTGTGTCACATGCTTTGAAGTCCATTAACACAAAACATAAAGCATTAAACCACCAGCTGCAGTGTAAGATCAAACTGGCAGAGTTCATAATTTGTTTCTTTCAAGAAGTCCTTTCCAGATAGGGCTGCATATACTAGGTCAAGGCAAGCATCGTATTTTTTATCTAGAGCCTTCTTAAGTGGAAAATGTGAGACATTGTTCTCATCACCTGCGTATAACTTGCAATTTCAACCGAATTGAGCATGTGTGACTAATTCTGATCAAATGTAGCATTTCCTGGCAATGAAGACATTTTGATTTGGTAACTAGGTCTGACACATGCAGAAACCCATCACCTTGCTTTAGACTATTCAAACACACCTTGCTTACAATTATTCCAGAATATAATGTACAGGTTGGCAAGAGCCACAATTTGGGTTGGGGTACTGCTGGAGTTTAACCAGCTGAAACCACATAACTTGCCATTGAGAGCACTGACTGGCAATCCTCCTGCTGCTTGTCCAGTTCGGACCACCGCACTGTTAGGGCTCTGGTTTACAGGGTTAACAGGAACCAAGTGTAATAAATCCCTGTTCCCAGTGACCAGTCTGCCCCTCCAAGTCCCGCTGATGATCCAGGCTGGGTGGTTTGTCGTCAGCAGTGCCCTGGAGTACTGCAGACCCACCTGGGCCTCAGGAACCGGATTAGTTAATTCTGACATTCCATTGTCCAGCATGTCACCTTGGAGGCCATCTCAGCTCCAAGGAGCTTACTTTCTAATTATCACTAATTGTTCATTGAGGAATATAGAGATCCTTGACTGGCTCCTTTTCGCCTCCTCTAACAAATAGCTTTGATGTACAAGCCCTTCTATCAGACTAATACTATCATTTGCTTCCTGAACTTTTAAGCATAATGGGAACTTATTCATTTGACAACAACAACAAACAAAAATACATTTGTATAGCGCATTTCACGTTGGGAGGACGAGGTGCTAGAGTGACAAGACAAAGAGGTGGGTGATTTTACAATGGCTCTTGATTTGGAAGTTGGTCTGCCACAGTTCTTTTTAAGAAACTTGACTTCCAAATGAAAACTGGATTGGATGTAAAGTAAGAATGTTATAAAATTCTACACATTATCTTAAAGCCACGACAATGAGAAGTTTCAGGCCTCAGTTGGCATAAACGGCACCCTATCCTTTCCGATCATGTGGTGGTAGGTGTGGTTTATTTTATGTAGTGATTTATTTATTGGGCTAACTTCTAATAAATGTATATCAAGACATCTCTCACAGTTTAGTGAGTCTGCTGAAGTGGTGTATGTTTGTGTTGTATCGACCCTTTGGTCTACATCTCATTGGAGACATGGATAAAGTTCTCCTCATTATTAGATGGTATAGGATTTGTTAAACATTAGAATAATCCTAAATATTTGGGATTGTTAACATCCCTCTTACAGAGGAAGGTTGTTTTTCTCAATCTTTGCTGCTGGCACATGTCATACTCTGATATGGGTAGTATGCATGAAATTGTATGTGGACAAACGGATATTAACAAGGCTTTAATTCATGTCCTTTACTAGGATTAAGAATTTTTGGTTTATGTTATACGTTCCTGAGATTCATATATTAGAAATTACAAGTATTTTATATGATTAGATATGTTCTTAGATTTCTGGGATGTTAATATCTTAATAAGTGAAGTTGATTTGAAATAATGACTGAAATTTGGTCTTGAAACAGATGTCAAACCAAAGGTAGAGGAACTTGATAAAGAAATCGAGGTCCATCGATATACACAGAGCAGCTCCTCAGGATTTCCTGCTGTACAGGTTGGCAATGGTTTGGATAATGAAGATGAGGAGGAGGAAGAGGACATGTCTGATTCAAACAGTCCACCTATTGCATACATGCAGAAGCAAGCTCCAGAGGGGTCCTGCACAACAGATGGTGAGTGTCATTTTGTCAACTACAAAGCAAAACCACAAGCCACATAGAAGGTAAGGCACCATATCAAATGCAAGGAATATTATTATTTATAACATATGAAGCCTTCTTCAGAAAGCCTTATAATGAACATTCTCTGCCTCTGACCATACCTCACACCCAACGAAGCCGAATCCCTTATCCACTCATTTGTCAACTCCGACCTTGATTATTCCAATGCCCTCTTTGCTGGTGTCCCCAACTCCACCATTCATAAAATCCAATTAATTCAAACGCCACGATCCTTATCTTCACCTGCACCAAACTCTGTACCCCCACCATCCCAGTCCTTCCCAGGTTCCACTGGCTCCCTATTGCAGAATGGATCGATTTCAAGATCCTCACACTCATACAAATAATTTCATGCCCTAGCACCTCCCTATCTCTCTGACCTGCTTACATCCCACTACTCTTTCCACTGTCTTTACTCAACAGGCTCTGGCCTCCTCCGCTCTATCATCGGCGGCCATGCTTTCCACTATGCACAAAAACTATGGCTGCCTCAATCCCTCCACCTAGCTTTCACTTCCCCTTCTTCGAAACACATCCGAAGACCTTCCTCTTCAACTATGGACATCTCCCCGCTCCCCAAGCATTAAGCTACCATATAAATGCAAGTCGTTGTTTGTTGTTGAAATTTCTAAGCATCTGGAATGGAATGTACACTGTCTCCCTAGAGGAACGCTCCCTGCTTACCTGTTTCTGGAGAGTATTAGGCACAGTTTGGCAAGAGCCAAGGTTTTGGGACCCCAGAATGTGTGTTGGGGTTCTCTGGAGTTTAACCAACTAAAATCATAGAGCTTGCTATTTAAATCACTGAGCAAACTTCCCACTGCATGTTTAGCTGGGACCACCCTACCTGTTAGGGATTTAGCTTACAAGGTTAACAGGAGCCAAGTGGGAAGAATCCCTGCCTCCAAATCCTGCCAATACACCAGGCTATCTGGTCTGTCATCAGCATTGACAACTTGCTATTGGTGGTCAAATTGCCGTTGGCGACAATGTGCAGTTAGAATGGAGAAATCCTGTTAGCCGGCATAGTCAATACCTGTACTCTTAATACCAATGTAGGAGCCATAATATCACATTTCTGATTCTGGTTTACATGATTTAGTCTATCTGCCTCAGAACAAGAGGGATTGTCCTCTTAACTGCTCTACAGCTCGAACTACTGGCAGTATAAGCCTAATACGGTTTTACTTTGGGCACCAAGGGTGTAAAACATTTTAAGAATTTGTAATTGCTATGTCATGTCTGAAATTCAATTATCTTATTGAAAACCCATGTGAATACATCTGTCATTTGTGCTAAAATGCAAAGTACACACAAGCCACTGTATGCACTGACCACTTTAACGGTTACTCAGTCAGTCTTTGAGAACTGTAGGATTTCTTTAGAGATCTTCAGAATGTCTTATGATGAAGATGCAGTTTTATGGTGTTAAATAAGCGTCCGTCTTATGCTTTGTCATTAGGTGAAATCAGAGGAATAGACGGAAAAAAAGGTATTTTAAGGTATTTTTTTTTAGATAGTAAAACTCTTTTTAGTCCCCAAAGGGAAGTGTTATTTTTTTTTCTCATTGTTATTGTTGTGCCATTCATTACCTTGGACACATAACAGCTAGGTAACCAGAAAATACTGTTTACTTTAAACCAACACAGTTATACTGGTAAATCAAGGCTGTCTTGTGCCCAGATTGAAATTCAAGGAAGAGGTCTGCAAAGAAAAGTAAGATGGATCTGACATTTTGCTGAAATAATAACTTGGTTTCATAGTTTTAAATTAACCTCTAAGTGGATAATTGAGGATTCTGCATCAAGCTGCAGTGTATTTCATGAGGGAAGAAATATTTGCACCAACCAAAAGATAGTTGCCAATGTGAGGCTTTCAGAAGATTTCCTTTTGTCTGGAGCCTTTATTTCAGTTCAGTCCTGTTCAGTTTTTCTTTTAAAAGACTTTATGTGAGTGGGAGGTGAGGAGGAAAGAAGGACCTGGGATTGAATTTATGGAGACTGATAGGTAGAATGTCTCCTCAAGTTTGTTCGCTATGATAGCAAGATTAGTTTGAACAGTGCTGAGAGAGAATGGGGTTCATAGCACAAAGCTGACATTAAATTTCACAGATCCCAATCTCACACAGAGGGGCTGTAGTATAATGTGAGAAATGGGAAATAACTTGTTGCAGTAGTGAGTCCTCCTTTAAGGTTGGGGCTGAGGCACATTGCGAGGGCAAAGTAGATGGGGAGCTTTATTCTTTATTTATTCTAATCTGTGATATACATGACGTGGCAGTGTTTGACGCTGACACCGGGTACCTGAAGTCAAATTTTTTTCCATTTTTGAGCACTTCATATTTCTCCCCTTTATGAGCACAATATTGAAAATAAACAAATGTGCTAAGGTGTAAAAGTGGTGAAGAATCTTATTGCAGTAGTTGTGACTGGCACAAATGTAACTTGTCTTCCTGCAACTTTAACATGACTCCAATGACCCTATCTGTAACTGGGCAACAAAGACCTACAGCTCTACTTAACCTGAGCCTATAAAATCACTTTGCCTTACAATGGAAGATTGCACAAAATTGTGGAAAATTCTTAAATTCAGTCTTAATTGGAATCCTGCTTTCCAAAGCTGAATGAAGGAACATCCCTTAATCCCGTATAAGATAATATGGTCTGAGACGAGGTGGGATTTTAGGTTTCAAAAGACTTCAACATTAGCTTGAATGGTGACTCTCCAGTCCTTGGTATTTTCTCATGGCAATTGTTATCATCATCTCACAAGGTGATTTAGAACAGGAACATCTCAGAATGTTATCTTGCTAACACTCAGAGCCATGTGTTCAAAGAACTCTGCCACTACAGTCAAATCGAGCACTGGAGTGGATCGTATGGGAATGTTCTCACTGTTGGAAACGTATACAACTTAATGCTTATTAACATTTTTGTCAAATGTGTCAGGTCCTTTGAATTCAGTGAATGCAGGTGGTATGGTCAGGCGCACACAGCCTGTCTGAAATCACAAAGAAATGGGGGCTTGTTACAAGTTTCAAACAAATTTCAGGATATCTGAAAGAGGAGTGAGGGCTGCTGTTGGTGACAATGCTGTGGCAGTTCTGTAAAATACTGGCGCATTACAGTTGTACTATGGCAGTGAGAATGCTGTCCTGTAGCAGTTCTGTGCACAATGTGACAGTAAGGATTGTACTGTGGAAATGCCAAGATGTAGCAGTGCTGTACTGTTATGTATTGTAAATAAAATTTTGGTTGAGTTCAAAAAGCAATTTGTTTGCATGCATCTCAGAATGTTTTTCTAAGTTGAAAAATAATGTTTTAATGAGACTTTGCGCATATTATGAACCTAGTCTGTATAGCTGTATTTTTGTTCTGTGCAGTTAGATACATTGTTTCTATTACTTGCTATTTTGCTGTATTTTGAAAGGCAGTCCAGCCATTCCACCATTTATTTTGTGAAAAAATAATCTTCTTGCTTTTGTTTAGGCTTTTGCCAGGCTGGCAAAGACTTGCGTCTGGTAGCTCTCTCCATGGAACAAATCGAGATTCCATCAGGCTTCGTGTTGGTCGGAGCCAAGTCCCCAAATCTCCACGAGCACATTCTGATCTGCGCAGTAGACAAAAGATTCCTGCCAGACGATAATGGGAAGAATGCACTTTTAGGTGAAGAATCTTATTCCTTGACACTTGAGTTGTAGTTGCATGAATCAGTAAAACCTAAGTGATATGTTCTATTTCTCTTGATATTCTTTTTTACTGCAATCCGTCATAAAGAAGTGAAGCTATAGTGAATTATAGTGAATGCTCCATTAAAGTACTTGAAGCTTGCTCTGTTAATAATAATACATTACTATTTATATTAAAGCTTGCTCCATTGGAAGACTTGCATATTATTTATGTTTTCTTGTGTTCTTTCATTTCCCAAATGCAGAAAGTGGAGAACCCTTGAGCTTTTATATCTTCCCATTTTTTTTCTTTTTCTCCAGACTTTTCCCTCCCCATAGTATTAACTCTGTTTTACAATGTAACCTACTTTGATACACATCATTATTTAAAAAGTTCCACGATCAGTACCTTCACATTGCACCTTACATCCCGCACTTACTAGTGGTAATAAACATGATTGTTTTCCTGATGGTAACAGCTCAGGTGGTGGCTAGCACTCTGTCTCGGTGGGGGGGGTGCGGGAGGTGGAATAGTAAGATGGGTCTTTTTGTGGCTGAGTTGGCTTCAAGATAACATGCCTGATAATGGAATATCGAAATTGAGTTGATACTCTGCGGAGCACTCGGTTGTCCAGTTCCTGGGCCAGTCAGGTCCACAGTACTGCAGGAACTTTTGATGACAGAGCATGACTGCTCTACAGCAGGACGAGGGGTTGGGATTGCTCCTGCTCGGCTCTTGTTAACCCTGCAAGCCAATGTCCTGGCAAATAGGTTGGTAAGCTTTGCATTGTTTATCCAGCTAGGACCAGTTTGCCAATGGAGGCAAAATTATTCAATGTGGTGGTGATCACATGCTGATTGGTATCTTTTTGTTGGCAGGCAGTCATAACATCGGCTTTGATCATCTTATTAGGCAGTTTTGTGGGGAATGTCTGTCCTCCACAATTTGCATCAGTCCTTGTCTGAACCCTTCCTGGGAGGCAGCTTGCTCCCTCATTGTGTTAGAATTTATTTAAATTGAAAAGGCTTATTAAAGCCCCGAGGCCCTAGATTCAGTCCTCATTTTGAAGGTGGTTTAACAGCAGAAAAACTGACTTCTAAATTAAGACTGATTTTAACATTTTTCATCAATTCTGCATGAACTACAACTTTAAGATTATTTTTAACAACTAAGAATACGAAGAATTTCAGGCCACAGGTATTAAAACTCAGTTCAAAGCGAGTGCTCTTGTGTTACTCATAACAATTTGAATATCATGATTTTTTCCCGAGCATATCTATTTATCCTGCTTTGGAGCAAATGTTGCAAATAAAGGATTTTAAATTTAAAAGCTGTGTGGCATCTGTGAATGTTTTATTTGAACCAGATGCGATTCACTTCTAGCTAACTTTGAAAGTTCTTGAATGGTTCTGTTTTCTGAACTTGACCAAAATGCAGTGGGGATAGTTATAGAAGCTCAATGCCCATCGAGCCTTTTTTAAAAAAAACAAATACATATTATGTAGCTTCATTGTAATGTCACATTGCATTCATGAGTTAAGTCAATAAAGAATGCTTTTTAGAGTTATTCAAAGTTATTAGAGTTATAACAATAAAATAATTCTTAATTTGATACAGCGTCTTTCATGTCAGGAGGGCATCTCATTATTTCATAGGATTTGCTGTTAAATGTACTGTATTTTGCAGACGTGTTAAAATGTTTGGAGAAAACTACGTTCAGTAGAACCCTATTCTAATGTGCTTTGTTGTACCAGGGTTCATGTTTCGGATGTGGACTCTGACACTGATTTTCAAAAAAAAAACAGAATGTGCACAGAATTTCAAGAGATAAGTTTTAAAGCACAATTCGCACCTATGGAGACGGTTAGCTTTCGTACGATCAAGCTCCCCGGGACGCTACCTGTGTGAAGGGCGCTATATAAATGCAAGTTGTTGTTATCAGGATCATATGATCAGAGATGACACCAGTCATATGATTGATGACATAATGATGTGGGAGCTCTGATCTACAGCATCTTTTCATTGTGCTCTGTTATAAGACGGATCACAGCGAATCTTATGGATCCCAACTATGGACCCCATCCATAAGAATCTTATCAACCCCAACTACCACCTTATAATGCTCTCCAATCAATGTATTTGTTTAGACTGTTTAAATGATACTTGAGAAGTCTGTATTCTCACCATCTCCTCTTTCTATTTACTGCTCTTGCTGTTGGTGCAGGATTTTCGGGAAACTGCGTGGGCTGCGGGGAGAAAGGATTTCGCTATTTCACAGAGTTTTCCAATCACATCAACTTAAAGCTAACCACCCAGCCAAAGAAGCAGAAGCACTTAAAGTATTACTTGGTCAAAAACTCCCAAGGTGTTCTCTCAAAGGGACCATTGATTTGCTGGAAAGGTAATTAAAACCCTATAAAAAGCCTTTTAGTTCAGTGGTTTACTTCTGATGATTGATTGAAAGTTGTCAGATGTTAAGTGACTTTTTATACATTAATTTTTTCTACAATTCTGTTTCTCTTCACTGAGGGTGTTGACTCTTACTGGTACGATACCTGCTAAATTGGCCATTGTTTATGTGTGAATCTACTGCTGCCATATTTAAGATGGACTACCGTGTTTGCTTGCTTGATTTGTTTGTTTTTGTAAAAAAACAATCATCATTAAATATTGATGGCATTTTTGTTTCCTTTGCAATCAGAGTGCAGAACCCGCCAGTCACCCAGCAGTTACTCCTCTGCTGTGACCCCTGTCAAACCAGTGACCACAGTCTTTGGTTCTACGTCGCCATGTCCAAACTCGGAGATCATCTCGTCCAGTGGATCAAGCACTGCAGTCGCCAGCTCTCAGACAGGTCAGATCTCAAGATAACAATCATAATAATAATAATCTTTGTATTGAATAAAGAGCCTTTCACTTCAGGAAGATGTCTTGCCCACAAAAATACCTAGTCAATTCACTTTACAATATATTCTGTGAAACGCTTTGAGATGTCCCAACGACGGGATAACAAATGTAAGGATTATTATTATTATAAATTGCTTCACAGGATTTACAGTAGAGTGCAGCGATTTTGTTGGCAATTTTTTTTTGTCAGACAGGCAAGTTCTCAAGACTCTGCACTTGAATGTGAAAATAAAACCATCTGTTCTACACTGTGAGCCCAAAGAATCCAGGGCCACCTCAACTTGCTAACATATCCCCACTACTATCAAGTTCTTCTTTCCTTGATAACGTGGACACCCGGAACGGTTAGGATGATTAACACTAGCCTAGAAACACAAGGGGGCTGTATCCTGTTTCAAAGTCCATGGTCTGGAACATTTAAGTGTTGTGGGAGACAATTGTTTTCAGATTCAATTCTTTTTAATTACAAAGAACTAAAGAGGGAGGATCCCTCATTTTTTCTTCTCCTCGTTTCTTGGTTACTCCTGTAGCTCAGTGGTGGAGTCCTGTAGCTCAGTGGTTAGAGCACTCGCTTTGCAAGCGAGAGACCTGAGTTCAATTCCAGACAGGGCAAAACCTTGGGCAAGTTTCCTTACTCCACACGCCTAATAATAATCCCTCCAAAACAAAAAACAATAATAAATTGGTCATTTTCAATCTACGACTGTTTGTGGGACATTGCTGTGCGCAATTGGCTGCCGCGTTCGCCCACAAATATACAGTCAATTCACTTTACAGTGTGTTCTGTGAAGCGCTTTGGGACGACCTCCCGACGTGAAAAGCGCTATATCAAATGCAAGGATTATTATTATTATTATTATTACTCACTGACAGTGACCTCCCAGAATACCAGGAGTCCCCATTTGAACCCACACAAAAACAGAGCCCGTCACCCTATTATGAGGCAGTGAAATATTGAATGCTTTGCTAGCTAGGGGACTGGGATCTAAAAGGGTTGCCTCAGAAGGGTTGGGAATAAGCAAGACAATCCCTCTTCCAGGAATGGATCATTGAGAAATTCCTTTCAAAGTTTTCACTCACTTTCTGAAAGATGCTCATGGAGATTTGTTTCATGGTCATGCTTGACTTCAATTAACTGACATAGTTGTGGTAGATTATTGCTATGGAGGAGGTAGGGGAGATATTGAAATAGTATGCTTTCAGAGTGAGAGAGATAGAAGTGAATTGACTGTATATTTTGCGGATGAAAGGATGGCGTAAAGCATAGATATGACAGAGACAAAATTGATGCCTTTGCCTGTGTGTTAACATTACTGCTGCTAACACTCAGTTGTCTGAAATTCTGATTTGGCGTGCTGAAATTTTTATGACCCCTCGAGCCTCTGCCACTGCTACTGTATCACAAAATTTATTAATTCCATTTTCCAACTCTTTCTCCATAACCCCTAAATAGTTTTACCATTCAGTTTAATTGAATTTTAAGTGTTTTCACAGTCTGTGTTGTATTGATGGAATTTGATCTGTACGAGGAGGAGGTGATTGACTCAGGAGGCAACGGAAGGTGAAAGGGGATCGTTATCTCCCCACTTTTGGAGTGGACAGAGCTGCACTTCTCACATCTCTCTGCCTCTGCTCTGATCGCCTCATCCTGGGCGACTTTAACCTTTAACCTGCACTTCACCCCCTCCTGCTCAATCTCCTCAGATTTCTCTTCCCTGCTCTCCTCGCTCAACCTCTCCCTCCACATCAACTCCCCCACTCACAGTCACGGCCACCCACTCGATTTGGTGATCACCCGGGGCCTCAGTGTCTCGGATGTCACTATCACCGACAAGGCCGTCTCCGACCACCACTTCATCTCCTTCACCACCTCCACCCCCCTCCACACCTCCACCAGACCCACCACCATCTTCTACTGCCCCTGGAAGAAGTTAACCCCTCAATCCCTAACCGCTGCCTTGGAGTCCTCTGAACTCCTCTCCCTCTGGCCTTCAACCCTCACTGACCCCTCTTCTGCTCTCACCCTCCTCCACAACACCCTCTCCTCCACACTTGACACTCTTGCGCCATCACCTCCCGTACAGTCTCCTACTCTCGCTCCTCCCTCTGGTTCACCACCCACCTCCGCTCACTGAAGAGCCAGGTGCGGGCCGCTGAACGCATCTGCCTCAAATCTGGCCTAACGGTCCACCGACAAATCTGGCTGGACCTCCTCAAAATCTACCGCTCCACTCTAGCCTCGGCCAAGTCGTCCTTCTACTCCAGGATAATCCTGGAGGCGAAGGACAACCCCAGGCTACTGTTCTCTACCACATCCCAACTCCTCCGTCCCCCCGCCACCCCGCGCAGGTCATCTCCTCCAACCTTCACTGCGAGGAGATGCTGGATTTCCTTGAATCCAAAATCAAGGGAATTCGCTCCGCGGTCACTTCCCCTCCAACATCCACCCACCACCCACCCCTTCCCTCCCACACTCCGACTCCTACCCATCCTCCCCTACACACTTCGTACCCGTTTCCCCACCCTCTGTCACCAAACTCATCCTATCCCTGAAACCAACCACCTGCTCCCTTGACCCCATCCCCACTCCACTCCTTATCTCCCAGCTCCACCTCCTTGCCCCACATATCACAGACATCGTCAACCTGTCCCTCTCCTCTGGCTCTGTTCCCATTCCCTTAAAAACTGCCACCATCACTTCCACCTTGAAAAATCCCTCCCTTGATGCGTCGCAGCTATCAAGCTCCCGGCCCATCTCCAACCTCCCCTTCCTGTCCAAGGTCCTGGAATGAGTTGTCGCCTCCCAACTGCGCTCTTTCCTCTCCACCATTCATTATTTGAACCCCTTCAGTCGGGTTTCCGTGCTGCCCATAGCACAGAAACCGCCCTGGTCAAGGTCACCAATGATATCCTGACCATCTGTGACCAGGGCTCCCTCTGCCTCCTCGTCCTCCTCGACCTATCGGCAGCATTCGATACGGTCGACCACGCTATCCTACTCCACCGCTTGTCCTCCCACCTCAACCTTCAAGGCACTGTCCTTGAGTGGTTTAGGTCGTACCTTTCTCACCGTCTTCACTTTGTCTCACAAATGGCTTCTCCTCCACCCCCCGCACTGTCTCATGTGGTGTCCCTCAGGGCTCTGTCCTCGGTCCCCTCCTCTTCACCCTCTATATGCTCCCCCTTGGTGACATCATCCGCAGACATGGGGTTAACTTCCACATGTATGCGGATGACACCCAACTCTACCTTTCCTCCTCTACTCTCAACTCCACGACCACCGATGTCCTGACAGCCTGCCTGTCCGACATCGAGTCCTGGACGAGAGACAACTTTCTTCAGCTCAACGTGCGAAAAACCGAGGCCCTCCTGATTGGCTCACGTCAGCGCCTCCGCACCTCAGGCGCTGACACCATCAGCATCCAAGGCTGCACTCTCCACCTCTCAAAGCCAGTCAGGAACCTCGGCGTTTTGTTCGACCCTGAGCTGTCCTTTCTCCCTCACATCCGCACCACAACTGGCACCGCCTTCCATCACCTCCGGAACATCGCCAGACTACGGCACTACCTCACCCCTCACGCTGCTGAAACCCTGGTCCACGCCTTTGTCACCTCAAGGCTGGACTATGGGAACTCTCTCCTCGCCGGCCTTCCCGGCACCTCCCTCCACAAGCTGCAGGTCATTCAGAACTCTGCAGCTCGTGTACTGTCCCGCACCAGGCTTCGGACCACATCACTCCCACCCTCGCTCGCCTCCACTGGCTCCCCATCCCCCAGAGGATCGATTTCAAGATCCTCATCCTCACCTACAAGGCCATTCACGGCCTTGCTCCCTCCTACCTCTCTGACCTACTATCCCCCTACCTACCTGCCCGTACCCTCCGTTCCTCCGGCTCCGGTCTGCTCCACGTCCCCCGCCCCAATCGCCCTACCATCGGTGGTCGGGCCTTCAGCCTCTCAGCCCCTAGGCTCTGGAACTCAATCTCCCAGTGCCTTTGCCGCCTCCTCCCTCTCCTCCTTCAAGGCCGGTCTCAAAACCTTTCTCTTTGACCGTGCCTTCAGCTCCCCTCTCGACTCTCTACCCCCTCCTCGCTCCCTCCCTTCCCTCATCCTGACCATTTCCCCAATGCTCGGGTCCTGACCCAACTGTGCAGCGCCTTGGGACGTCCTCCTGACGTGAAAGGCGCTTTATAAATGGAATCTTGTTGTTGTTGTTGTTGCACTACTCTTTAGACTGGCACTTCAGGAGAAGCTTACCCCTGAATATAAGCACCAAATTTGACTTCAGCCCAGCAAAGTATTAGTGTGGTTCTAACTTGTTGAAGCTAGCAGTTAGCTTGAACTGCAGCAGTGAGGTGTGGTACATTTTCTCCCTTACAGCAGTTCCTCTGCCACAAATCTAGTTCCGTATAGACTGCAATGATCACTGCAAATCCTTTGAATCTCAGTGAACTCCTTTGCTTTTGTTTTGAAGCAGAGTGTGTAGTGTTTTGGCTCAGCTTAGGGTGGTTTAAAATATGTGTACAACTTTTGTGCTTAAAGATTTATTGGATGTAATGTTGTGTTATTCATGTTGAGGTCCAAACAGCAGAACATAGCACTGGAACCAGACCAGTGAACAGAAACACTGTTTTATGAGGAAAATTTGGCTTTGGTGCAGTTCAATGGGACTAGTTAAGTTTGAATCTGATCATTGGCATCTGTTCATCCTAACAGCAGTTCTTGAGTTATAATAAGTGGCAGCTGGATCGTTTGGTAGCACTCTCATCTCTGAGACTGAAGACAGTGGGTTCAAGCCCCACGCCAGGACATGGAACTTGTATGGTCTAGGGTTCTAGGTTGACACTCCAACACTAATACAGTGCTGGGATGTGCTGCATTGTTAGAGGTATCGTCCTTCAATTGAGACATTAAACCAAAGTCCATCTACTTGTTCAGGTTGAAGTTCCCAGGACACTATTCGAAAAGAGAAAGGAATTTCTCCTGATGTGCTAACCATTAATCCCCCAGATAAAACTGGTAATTAATTTCATGGCTATTTGTGGGACATTCCTTTCGCAAAATTGGCTGCCACATTCATTTACAGAATACGCAATCACTGCACTTTTCAGGAAATCCTGTGAAGCATGTTGCGTTGGCATCTTGAAGTGAAAAGTGCTATATCGAATGCAGTAATAATTATTAATAATAATAAAACAGAGCATTGAGCTGTGACCATCTAATTCTGAGGTTCCAAGTGCTCTACTCTGTTGTCCAGTAGGGTTGGTATTTAAAATCCGGAATCCAAAATGATGTAATTTCTGTTTCACAGAATCATCAATGAATCCAGCACCTTCTACTGCCAGTTACCCTGGATGTCAGGACCTGTCTAGGAATGCCAACATAGCAAAACCTCTGGCCTTGCCTGCACAGCACCTTGGTAAACCTCCAGTAACAGGTAATGTTTTCTATATCTCTCATCTTATTTTTCTCTCTTTAGAGTCTTCTTCAGAGTGACGATTTCCCTTTCTCTCCCATTCATTCTTTAAATCTCTTCCACAATGCTAGGCTCCACTCCTTGGATCCAGCTACAGTCAGCTGACCTGATCTCATTCATCTGCTATTTTATTTCCTGCCAATTTGTTCTCCCAATTTTTTTCCCGTTCTGCTGAAGGATATAACTTGTTTTGCTTCTACAGGAGCACGATTCAATGGGTGCCGTGCTCAAGTGGGCCTTGTGAGTTTTGATGGTGAATGTATACAGATTATTTAACCATTGGGGGAAGTGGAGGGGTGGCGCTTTAGCTGAGCTTGATACCTGGTATCCTAGTAAACAATCCTCCAATTAAATTGGCCATTAATCTGCTGGCTGTTTGTGGGACATTGTCTTGCACAAATTGGCTACTGTGTTTGCCAAAAAATACACACTCTCTACGCTCAGCAATAATTGAAAAGCTTTGAGACGTTTCAACCAAATGCAAGGATTATCTTGAGAAACACTGCAAATTTCACCCCATCTGTGCAATCTAGCAGTGAGCACTTCAGCAGAAAGCACGAATAGATAATATTTGTACTGAAGCAATACAAACTGCTGGGGTATGAATAGACTAATAGGTTGGTTGAGAAGCACCAATATTTCATCATTTAATTTGGTCTGCTTTCATCTAAAACTTTTCACGTGACTTTCCCTTATGAAATAACTTTTTGTGACTCCATTTCCACCTTGCCCCATCATTTCCTGTTTGTAAAGTCCGCTTTAACTTATCTTCTCAACCATGCGTTCGAGCACCTGGCTCGCTGTATCCATAAGGATTGATTTCAAGATCCTCACCCACACATACAAATCCCTTCACACCGTAGCATCTCTCTACCTCTTTGACTTACTTGTACCTCATTCCTCTGCCTACCCCTTCACTGGCACAGACCTCTGCGTATCCCCTGACCCCTCTACACCACCATGGGTGGCTGTGTCTTCAAGACACAATACAGAGCTCCGAGACACAATCCTGCATGAAATGCACGTTGTTGTCCCCCCAATGTGAAGGGCGCTATCTAAAAGTAATTGTTGTTGTTTGTTTAGTTCTGTGTGCGAACGGCCAGCCGTCTGGATCTGTGCGGATCAATGGTAACACCAGTGGTACCAGCAATGGAGGAAGAGCCAACATCTTTAGTGCTGCTTTGCCTCGACCTCAGCCTCTTGCAGCTTCACCAAGCTCCAGCTTTGCCTCAGGAGACAACAGTAAGAAAGTCTTGTAACTCTCAGTGGCACCATGTAATCAAAACACGCAGACTCTTGCCTGTGCTTTTTTCACTGTTGTGCCAACATTAAGTTTATTTGTGCAAAGTAAGTGTCTGACTGTGTAAGTGTTTGATCTGATCCGTCCCAGGGTCACATACAGTCACAGATTAATGATAATAATAATAATCCTTGCATTTGATATAGCGCTTTTCATGTCTTCTAGACATTTCAAAGCGCTTCACAGAATATACAGTAAAGTGAATTGACCGTATATTTGTGGGCGAAACGCAGCAGCCAATTGTGCACAGCAGTGTCCCACAAACAGTCGTGGATTGAAACTGACCAATTTGTTATTGTTTTGTTTTTTGGAGGGATTGTTTTTAGGTGTGTGGAGCAAGGAAACTTGCCCAAGGTTTCGCCTTGCCTGGAATTGAACCCAGGTGTCTCGCTTGCAAGGCGAGTGCTCTAACCACTGAGTTATAGGACTACACATATTCAATCATAGCACTGAAAAACAGTTTCAGACTTTGCCAGTACCTTCAAATGTAGGATTTAATATGGTTGTTAGAAAAATCAGTTTGGGACATAATATACGTCTCCTGCAGGGAACCCCCAGGGTGTGATACCGATCTGTAGGATTCAGTTCTGATGAGATACTGGGCTTGAGCTCTGCTCCCACACACATGTCAGCATGATGTACATGCGTTCCCTTAAGGAGATGCACTCTACGTCCCAAGCTGATATTTCTGGATTTGCTTTGTAATTGTACTGTTTTGAGGGAAAATATTTTTGCCTTTATCAAGTCGTTTCTACTTTAGTACCCAGTGTTAGTTCAACATCAGAAAATGACACAACAACTTGCATTTATATAGCCCCCCCTCACACAGGGTAGCGTCCCAGAGCACTTGACAACTCCAAGCCGGGGGGAGGGGAGATGACCATAGGCGTGGTCGAATAGGAAGGTCTTCAGGCACGATCTGAAGATGGGGAAGGAATGGGCAATTCGGAGGGATAGAGGAAGAGTATTCCAGAGTTTTGGGGCATAGGTGGAACCCAGGGCACAAGGGACATGCAGAAGGCCAGAGCCAGTCGAGCAGAGGCAGCGGGTTGTGCTTGGGGGTTAAGCAGGTTGGAGAGGTAGGGAGGTGCCAGGGCATAAAAGCATTTGAAAATGAGCGTGAGGATCTTGAAATCAACCCGTTCGGTGATGGGGAGCCAATGGAGCCTGGCTAGAATTAGTGATGGGGGTTTGGAATTTAGTACGGCTGAGTATGCGGGCAGTGGAGTTTTGGATCAGTTGGTTCCTGTGCATTGTGGACCTGGGGAGACCGGCAAAGAGGGCATTTGAGAAGTCCAGTCAGGAGGTGACGAACACATGGACAAGTATTTTGATTGTGTCCGGGTTAAGGTAAGGTCAGAGGCGGGCAATAGAGCAGAGACGGAGGAAAGCTGTTCTGGTCAGGGTTTGGATGTGGCGAAGGAAGAACAGCTGGGGGTTGAACTTGATGCCAAAGATGGAGCCCTGGGGCCAAGGATGGGGCCCTGGGGCCAAGGATGGGGCCCTGGGGCCAAGGATGGGGCCCTGGGGCCAAGGGTGGGGCCCTGGGGCCAAGGGTGGGGCCCTGGGGCCAAGGATGGGGGCCTCTGGGGCCAAGGATGGGGGCCTCTGGGGCCAAGGATGGGGGCCTCTGGGGCCAAGGATGGGGGCCTCTGGGGCCAAGGATGGGGGCCTCTGGAGCCAAGGATGGGGGCCTCTGGGGCCAAGGATGGGGGCCTCTGGGGCCAAGGATGGGGGCCACTGGGGCCAAGGATGGGGGCCTCTGGGGCCAAGGATGGGGGTCTCTGGGGCCAAGGATGGGGGCCTCTGGGGCCACGGATGGGGGCCTCTGGGGCCACGGATGGGGGCCTCTGGGGCAAAGGATGGAGGCCCTGGGGCCAAAGATGGGGCCCTGGACACAAGCCAAATACAACAAATATACTGGATCGTGCATTTGATGTTGTAAAAATGTTGAGAAAGTGTAGCACTGTCTCACCAAACTGGCAAGGAGAATAAGTGACATGAATGAAACTTGAATACAAAGCTCATTGAAAAATGCAAATACTTCTCATTAGCTCTAGACAAGAGCACTGGCGTTACTGATATCAGTCAGCTATTAATTTTCGTCAGAACCATTGATGAAAATGTTGTTGTTCGTGAGGAATGACTTGAGTTAATTCCTTTGAAAGCTGCTAAAAAGGGTTTGGATATTTACAAGGTTCTTACCTCAACTATCAGTAAATGCAGTGGATTTCAGAAGTGTTCCTGCATCGTGATGGATGGTGCAAAATTAATGACCTGCTGTAAAAAATGGTTTAGTAGCTTTGCTGAAACAAAATGGAATTGAATGTATTACTGTTCACTGCATCACACACCAAGAGTCCCTTTGTGGAAAGCCAGTGAAAATGAGCAATGTAATGACTAGTGTCATCAAAGTGGTCAATATTATCCACGGAGGAATTCGAGCCCAGAGTCACAGAAAGTTCATAAACTTCCTTGAAGCATTAGATGCTGAATACCGTGATTTACCTCTTTATTTAGAAGTGCTTGGCTGAGTGCACGCAGTTTTCTGGTGCAATTTTTTGCACTTAGGAAGGAGGTACTTTCATTTCTCAAGGAACATCTAAAGAGCAACACTGCATAGTTTGAAGAGGAATTAGAAAATCCAACTTACTATGTTCATTGCCTTTCTTAAAAGACATAACAAGCCATCTCAACATTCTCAATCTTCAACTACAAGGCCGAAATCAAAATATTTCGCACCTTATGGGGGACGTTGACGGGTTCTGCATAAAGCTACAACTGTTGAGCACATTCCTCTTAATAATAATAATAATAATCCTTGCATTTGATACAGCACTTTTCAGGTCTTCTAGATGTCTCAACGTGCTTCACAGTGAATTGACCATATATTTGTGAGCGAAACGTGGCAGCCAATTGTGCATAGCAGTGTCCCACAAACAGTCGTGGATTGAAAATGACCAATTTATTATTGTTTTGTTTTGGAGGGATTATTATTAGGCATAAGGAAACTTGCCCAAGGTTTCGCCCTGCCTGGAATTGAGCCCAAGTGTCTCGCTTGCAAGGCGAGTGCTCTAACCACTGAGCTACAGGACTCCACTTGCAGAAAGACCTCACCCATTTTCCATCATGCATGGAACTTGCAACTGAGCTTGATGAGGCTGATGTTTGCAGCTTTTTGGAAATCATTACAGATCTATTAGATGAGTTCAGTGCCAGATTTGCTGATTTTGAGGGTCTGAGATCCAGTGTCCAACTATTCAACAATCCGATGGAGGTGTCGATTGAACAGGTGGAGATGTGCGAACTGCAGGGTGACCCTATGTTCCTCTCAAGGAAGAATGAGATTCACGAAAATTGTTTTCTTAAATTAAATGACTTTGCACTGAAGATGTGTTCTATGTTTGCAAGCACATACAATTATGAAAGCACATTTTCCATAGTGTTCACACTGAGACATTTATTGGTCTTCTCAGTGTCAATGTATGTTAAGTAAACTAATTTACTTATATGTAGATTTAGAGTGGATTGGATGAAAATTGTTTTGTATATTGTTGATATTTTTAATTATTATATATTCAAAATAATCTTTATTCAAAAGTATCTTTATTGTGTTCCTTTGTTAGTTTTACAATATGGATTAATCTGTTTGGGTTTTGTTGAGCATTCTCTGTTGGGGCTTCCATGTGCTGAGTTGATTTCCTGTGTTTTAACTTTAATACATTGAAAAATGTGTTGCATTTATTACCATTTGAGATCATTATTAAGTAATACAGTCACACAATTTAAAATATAAGATTTCTATATGATGCTTTATGTTTCTGGAAGGAGAATACAAAAATATGGCTTATATGGCCCGCGGACGTCTCTGACATGTCAAATCTGGCCCTCGACACCAAAAAGGTTGGACCACCTTGACATATGGGTAGGAAATAGGAATTTGACCCTCCTCTGTTGGTTTGAGTGGTCAGATTGGGGCCAGTAGAAACCCTGTCGCTGAAGAGTTGAATGTCACGATACACGTGCTTACAATATGCTGTGTTTGAACACCCAATCTCCTTGGTGAAAATGGGACACAATTGTTAGTTATGATAGTCACAATTTTGGGCCTCCGTGTTGCATTGCTTTCCCCAGGGACTTTTATCTAATTTGTCTTCTGTAGTGTTCCCTCTCTAAACCTGCAGATGTTCCTTTACTTTCAGCCATCATGACAAGCTCTGGACCACCTAAGAAACGGCATCGAGGCTGGTCTCCTGGCTCCCCAGTCTCTACACCTGCAGTGGCCCCTGTTCCACCTCTTCGACCAGTGACCAGAGCTGGTAAGAAGCTGCTGAACCCCTTCTCCCAGTCATTGTAATAAATCCTGTGCGATAAATACTGCAACATTGCTATATGTCAGTTGTAACCTATGAAGTCAGAGTAAAATTATTCAGAGTTCAGCAGATTAATGTCTCCTTTCAGCTCAGCGCAGTTTTCAGATTATTTATTGGTGATACAAAAGAGGAGGCCATCTTAATTTGCTTTGGAAAAAATTAAATTTGCAATCTGGTTCTTATGTAAAATTTGCTTTGTTTTTTAACATTACACAACAGGTGATTAACATGTGAACATGCGGAACAATTTACCCAAGGGGCCAAATGATATGGGCAGAAAGACAAATGGGATAAAATGTTGACAGCAAAGGAAATTGACGGATATGTGAGCCAGGGAGAGATGGGATGCGAGTGCTGGCCAGATGGACTATCGTGGTCTTCCTGTTGAGACATTCTTTCTAATAGGATCTTATTTGTCTTGCAGATGCTTTGCTATCCATTCCCGTTTCCCAGTCGATGACAGCTGGAGTCTTGCAGCCTCAAGCCATCCCTGCAGGAGAGACTGTCATCATCCCTGAAAATTTGTTAAATAACTCTGGAGTCAGACCTGTCATCTTAATAGGTGCAAGCTATTTCTGAGTGAATCTTTACATGATGTTGCACAATTTGACCTAATATTTTGTTTATTTTTATTGTGGTAAATATAAGATAAACTCTGTTGTATTGCAATCTATTTCAGTGGAACCCTCACTCTTGAGTTGGTTTTCACTCAGACTGCATTCAACTAACCAAGGAAGCTTCTGTCTGAACTTCACTGACTTCCAGGGGCATTGAGACTGATTATAACAATATATATATTTGATGTAGGGCCTTTCACATTGTGTCATGGGAGGATGTGTCAAAGTGCTTCACAAGATTAACGTGTAGTGACTGTTTTGTAGGGGATCACAAGAGCCAATTTGCAAACAATAGTGTCCCACAAACAATAATTTGCAAATATATAATCTCCTTCTGTAGCGTCTTGAACATTTGTTTTATTTGGGGAATTGTTGGCCAGGTTAGTGAGAGAAACTAACTTCCCTTGTTCAAATAGTACCATGGACATTCACCTTAAATATATTTAACAGCCATCTGATATAATGAAAGGCACTATATCAAATGCATGTATTGTTATAATCAGTCTCAATGGCCCTGGAAGTCAGTGAAGTTCAGACAGAAGCTTGACGGTAGCTTGGTTTAATGATTCATATGAAGGATGTCACCTCCAACAATGCAATGCACCCCCAGCACCTCATTGAAGTGTCGCTAAATTGGACACTTCAGTTCTATGCAAACTCCCTGCTTGTTGTCCTCTCCAACTCCTCCCTCTATAGGCTGCAGATCATCCATAACTCTGCAGACCATGACCTCTCCTGCATCAGGCTCTGTGACCCTATTATCTCCATCCTCGCCCGACTCAAATGGCTTCCCATCGCACAGTGTTCAAGATCCTAATCCTCACCTTCAAAACCCTCCATGGCCTTGCCTCCCCCTTACCTCTGCGACCTCCTAACCCCTACCAACCTGCCTGCTCCCTCTGATCAGCGGGCTTCGGCCTGCTTCACGTTCCCGCCTTGTCCGCACAACCATTGGCAGGCGGGCCTTCTGCCACTCTGCCCCCACCCTCTGGAACTCCATCCCGCAGTCTCTCCACCTCGCCTCCTTCAAGCCGCGTCCCAAGACCCTCCTCTTCAACCGTGCCTTTGGTTACCTTTTTCCCTCCCCCTGCCGTCCACACTCACCAATCCCGATCCCCAGCTCAGGTCCCAAACACTGATTATCCAGTGCCTTGGGACATCCTCCTGACGTGAAAGGCGCTATACAAATATAATTTGGTTATTGCTGTTGTTGTTGTCAGCCTGGACTGCATACATTCAAACTCCTGACAATGAGCTTGAATCCACAATCTCTGGCTTACAGGCGAGAGAATGCTAGCAACTAAGCCAAGCTGGTGATACCAACTAACCCAGCAAAAAAANCTGAACTTTTTCTTTCTTTGTTTTCCAGGTTATGGCACTTTACCATATTTTTATGGCAATGTTGGTGATATTGTCGTAAGCCCTTTGCTTGTAAACTGTTACAAGTTTCCACAGCTGACTTCGGTTGAGCTGGAACAGCTGGGGGTTTCCAGCAACCATCTCCTAACAGTGGAGAACATGATCCTCTTGACGATACAATACCTGACTCGTCTTGGTAAGTCTTTCAATAAACAGCCCATTCAGGTACATTTGTTAGATCTGCTCCAAAGCTTTAAAAAATAGAATAGATGACCCACGTGGAGAAAAACACTGGCCCAGATTTGGTGTGCCAAATAGTCTGTTTCTGTACTGTAACATTCTTTGATTCTATGAAGGATGAATTTTAAGTTGGAATGGAAAGGAGGGAGGATCAAAATCTCAATTGGTTCAATACATAGGTGTTTGTTGAGGTTGAGTTTTGTGCGTGTGAAATATTCAAAGGGAAAGGAGGAAGGACAAATGAGATTCCTGGCACTTGGTCCTGTATCAAACCAGGAGGATTGATGATTTGATCATGCACAGAAATCTGTGGGTATCCCCATGGTACTAGTGTAAGCGTCCAGTATAATTGGCCTGACCTGTCAGTGCTACTCCTGCAAAGAGGGTCAGTGAGACCAGCACATCAGTGTGATGGAGCCATTACACTCAAACCATAAGGCCAGAGTTCGAGTTCAGTTTTGCCTGACCTTTGCACTTTGGCTTCCCCAGGGGGTGGGAAATTCTGTAGTCTCAGCTGCTGATGGGGGTGGGGGGAGCTTTGACAACATCTGTGGAAATTTCACTAACTGTTTGGACTTAGAGTTGTCCAAGGATTTGTTTTGAGCCAGGGCAATTATGAAGCCCCCGGCAACTATCCACTAATTACAATATTATCCAATAAATAATGGGGATGTCACACATGCCTAATATGTCCAAAGCTCTCGCTGTTTGAGAGCAGGATTTGGCATGTTGCTTTGTAAGTCACAATTTAATTGGCAAAATAAATAAGTGTGTCACTTCTGTAAAATATTACAGTGCATTTGGGAAAATTACAGACTAATATTTTCTTAGTAGAGGACTGCAGAGGTATGGATTTAATTTATTTTATTAATGCTTTCTTACTTTGCAAATCTGATTTTTGTGTTGTATGAGAGCTGCTTTCTTCCCAGGCTCCCTGCAGTGCTGTCGTGAATGCTGCCAAGTGTACAAATGTGGTCTGTTCTGTCCTCGCCTGGCATTCCCTACTTCTCTTTCTGTTTCTTCTATCTGTCTCTCCTCTTCTATATGTTCCCCCTCTATCTCATTCCATGTGTATCTTTTCTTTCTTTCTTTCTTTCTTTCTTTCTTTCTTTCTTGCTTGCTTACTTCCTCTTTCCTTCCTTTTGTTTCCCGGGCCCGCCTGGCTCAGAGCCTCATGTGTAATTGGTTGCTCCGTGTGAAAAGAGTCAACAACAACAACTTGCACTTATATAGCGCCCTCCACGCCGGGCAGTGTCTCGGAGCACTTAACAATGTTGTAGCCCAAGGCCGAGGCGAAGGGGTTGAGGGAGGAAGTTCCAAAGTTTTGGGGAGTAGTGGCTGAAGTTACGGCTGCCGATGGTGAAGCGGAGGTTTCGGGGGACACGGAGGAGACCAGACCCAGTAGAGTGGAGGCAGCGGGTACTGCTGTGGGTAAAGAGGAGGTTAGAGAGGAAGGGGGTGCCAAGGAATGAATGGATTTTAAACACTAGAGTGAGGATCTTGAGTCATGGTTGCCCAGACCTTGCTGAGTTACAGCTCAATGTTTTGGTTCTCTGAAACACTGTACAACAAATGGAAGAGTTTATCACCACCTTATTTCTTTTATTTTGTATTCAATAGCAACAGATAGTCAGTCTCTCTCTCTCTTGCTCTCTCTCTCTCTCTCTCCACTCAAATGTTTTATACATCAATAATAATAAAATAGTCTGTCTGCTTATTTCAGGTCCAGACCAAATGCCTCTCCGGGAGGAGTTTGAACAGATCTTGTTGAAAGCTATGCAAGACTCAAGCCTTAAGGATCGATCTTCACACCTGAGTGTTCCATGCTGCACGGTGTCCCCGGCCCAGCTCCCCTGGTTTGCTAGACTGGCGGCCAGTGTCTCACGAGACTCAGTGCAAATAGTTTTCACCCAGAACTCACTGGCCGAAGGCATTTCTGAGACCTTAAGAACATTTGGGGATATACACCCACAACAGAAAGTACCTAACTATGTTGTAGTCATTTGTACATCAAAGCTGAGAGGCAATGAGTTCTGTATGGTGGTTTTAGGTGAGTTCAATTTCAGATGTACTACTGAAGTAATCTAGTTAAGGCAAAATATAACTTGCTACTGAGGATCACAATAGTAGTGTTCTCTACCCTTGAGAATGTGACTACACCCAGAATGTTTTTGTAGCACCTTATGATGTTGAAATGTCTTAACTAGCTGTACAAGAAATTATAAATGAAAGCTTTACAGTGAATCACCAGTTATTCTGGATGATTGTTGGCCAGGACAATGGAAGAAACTCCCTTTTTTTTTCAAGTACTGTCATGTAAGCTTTATCGTTCATCTTAATAGGCAGTTGGAACCTTAGTTTAACTTTTCATCCAAACATCTCCCAACAATGCAGCACGTAGCAACCTTCTGATTCGAAGTACCAGCAAATTAGCCAAACTAATACCATTTTGCTCAGTATGATTAGTTCATTAGTTTTTTTTCATTGATTATAAGCACAACTAAGTCAATGCTGACTTTCTAAAGGGAGCTCCATTGATCAAAGTTACGAAGCTCATGGTCAACAGAAGACATGTTGATGTGATATCTAGCACAGGTACTGTGTGCTAGAGCGCTATTAGCTCAATAGTTGTTGAATTACCTCCACTTAAAAATGCCATCTGATGAAGGTGGGGTTTGTTTATCAGTGGCTTACAGCTGAGCATAGAGTGAACAACTTAAGATCCAAACAAAAACCCAGTAGGAAAGAAAGTCTTACTATGTGGGGATTTTCTTTAATAATAATAATAATAATAATAATCCTTGCATTTGATATAGCGCTTTTCACGTCGGGAGGACGTCCCAAAGCGCTTCACAGAACACACTGTAAAGTGAATTGACTGTATATTTGTGGGCAAACGCGGCAGCCAATTGCGCACAGCAATGTCCCACAAACAGTCGTAGATTGAAAATGACCAATTTATTATTGTTTTTGGTTTTGGAGGGATTATTATTAGGAGTGTGGAGTAAGGAAACTTGCCCAAGGTTTCGCACTGCCTGGAAATGAACTCAGGTCTCTCGCTTGCAAAGCGAGTGCTCTAACCACTGAGCTACAGGACTCCACTTAAATGCTCTGGTGGGAAATGATTTAGTATTAAAATCAGTGAGCAGGTCTTGACTCCCTGTGCTCATTCCTAATTACAGTATAGACTGCGATTGTCGGTGGCGGGGGTGAGAATAAGAAGGGGAAATAACACCTCATCAAATTTCGGTACAAGGATGTGAATTTAATTTTGTTTTAAATTGAATCTCAATTTAACAGATTATCTTAATAAAATATTGCACTAAGATAAAACCCACCTTTGATGTATATGAGATAAAATGCTGAAGGAATTACCATTTGTACTATTGTCTGCACCATTTAGATTCTTGGCTACCACCTGGTAAATTGTGTATTAGCATGGGATGGAAATTTCCAACATTTACTGCTCAAACACTCCTAATTGGAACACATAAGGCGGTCTTACTATGCATCGATGCTGAGGTTAATTTATCCCCCTTGAAGTGTATGGATTTGGTAACTTCTCAAAGTCACTGTTTCCTGTCAATTGCAATCAGCGGAGCTTGAGACGAAACAAAAGATAACCCAAGCTGTTAAGTAGTTTGTAACCATTTGACTTTTTAAAATGATCCGCATGGCTAAATCTTTTGATTTTTCCTTTCAATTTCGTAAGACTTTCCATTTGAATAACTCAGCCAATGAATGAATGGAGCTGGGGGGAGGCTGCTGATCCCAGTGAGGGTTCCTCAATTCAGTAAGAAACAATTGTACTGTACCTGGTGCCACAACAACCAATCATTGTGTTTACTTGTAGGTCCATATCAGTCCAGAGTGCTGGCAGAGAGCATGCTCACCACCACTGAGTTTTTGAAGGAAATCAGTTATGAATTGATCACTGGAAAAGTCAGTATTTTGGCATCTCACTTCAAAATTTCTCCTTTTGGTAAGTACTTCAATAAGAAACCGCTGTTATCTGAATGCTTTAAATATACAATCTTGCAACCACATTGTTTTGAAAAATTTCTCCCCCCATTGTTGTTTGTAACGCCCGGTAGATCAGCTTATGCTGGAGTACAGTTCATGGGAGCCAGAACTATTTTGTTACCTTACCTAAGTGGCCATTACTCATGCATGAACACAGGCATCAAGTGTAGACAAGTTATTTGATCATGGGGGGAGGGAGACATTAGTTAGTGATTAGTTATCTAATTATTAGTACAACCGCGTTATAAGGTGAGTTTTCTTACAAGCAGGGCCAATAGAAAAGTGTGTGTGCGGCGCAAGCGGCAAATGGGCTTCACTCGGAGGCCCTGCTATTGTGAGTGTCTGTGTGTTTCTCTCACTATGTGTTTGTGAGTGTGTGTGTGTGTTTGTGAGTCTGTGTTTATCTGTGTGTTTCTCTCTCACTGTGTGTTTGTGAGTGTCCTGTGTATCTCTCTCTCTGTGTTTGTGAGTGCCTGTGTTTGTCTGTGTGTTTTTCTCTCTCACTACGTGTTTGAGTGTCTGTGTGTTTCTCTCTATGTGTTAGTGAGTGTCTGTGTATGTGTCTCTGTATGTGATTGTGAGTGTCTGTCTCTCTCTATGTGTGTCTGTGTATCTCTCTATATGTTTGTGAGTGTCTATGTGTGTCTCTATATGTTTTGTGAGTGTCTGTGTGTGTCTCTCTATATGTTTTGTGCCTTGGGACGTCCTCCCTACGTGAAATGCGCTCTATAAATGGAATCTTGTTGTTGTTGTGGTTATGTGTGTGTGTCTATCTGTTTGTGAGTGTCTGTGTGTGTGTCTCTGTGTGTGAGTGTCTGTGTGTATCTCTCTACATGTTTGTGAGTGTCTGTGTCTCTATGTTTGAGTGTCTTTGTGTGTATCTCTCTATGTGTTTGTCTCTATGTGACTGTTTGTGTCTGTGTTTGTCTCTCTCCATGCGTTTGTGAATGTCTGTGTATGTCTCTCTCCATGTGTTCATGAGTGTCTGTGTGAGTGCGTCTGTATGTCTTCTCTCCTGTATGTGTGTAAGTGTGTTTGTGTGTGTCTCTTCTATGTGTGTGTGTGTTTCCGATTGTCTGTGTGAATGTATGTGTGTGTCTCTCCTCTGTGTGCGTCTGTGTGTATATATATCTGTGTCTGAGTGTATGTGTTTTGTGTGTGTCTCTCTGTGCCTGTGAGTATGTGTGTGCCTCTCTCCATGTTTGTGAGTGTGTGTGTGTGTCGGTCTCTGGGTCTGTGTGTGGTGCCGGCTCTGAGGAGCATGAGGTGGTGAGCTCCTGTTGCCTCGCTGGTTCCCCCAACCCCCCAAAAAAGGGCCACACAGTTTATGTCAAAGAAGTCATTAATATTTTTTTGCAACAATCTAATATGTGTTATTTCCTTATATTTAGTTTAATCATTGAAGTGAAAAAAATGTAGGTTGGCAGTAAAATGTACCTCAAAAGCACCAATCAACTTCCTGCAATTTTCTGCAAAATTTGTCAAAAATTTCACCGCAGTCTCCCCCAAATCTCTCCGAAATTTTTAGCAAATATTTCTGCACTTTTCTATTTCTTTTCTATTTTATCCCAGCTTACAAGGCAGGTATCCTAAGGACCCGTGTTTGGTTTCGTCACACACACACACACAAACACACACACGCCCACAAAAATGAGAGGAGCAATTGTGGTTACTGACTGTTAAGTACAGTGATTTGAGCAAGACAGAACAAAGCAGATGCCATATCTAGGTCCAATAGAAATAAGTTCATTAATGCAACATAGGCTATAATATATGTAAATTGTTTAAATATGGCAGAAAATTGTTACCTAGAGACACACTAGCAACCAGTTCCAGTGTCTGCAAAACTCCAAAACAAAAACACGTGAGATGTTAAAATAAAAATATTAACTCCAAAAAAAAACTCTGTGAGATGTGTCCTCTTTAAACCCCCTTTTCTCTTGAGGGGTTTCCTTCCTTTCTCCCCTGAGAAGGGCATGAGGAAAAAGTGCTCCAGTTGATTTTTGGCACAATATTCAAAATCTTAGTGGCTTTCCCAAAAAAACTATTGTGTAAGTCACTCCCTCACATTTGGCAGGGACAGCAATGCACTTCAAAATGTGACTCTCACACACACACTGAATTTTATGACATTAACTTAAGAAATTGTTTTTTGGATGAACCCGACTTGGATTGCACTTATCAGATTTGGCAAAACTTTTAAGGCAGAGCCTTTAAGTATTAACTTGGGTTGTGTTGATGAGGCCGACTGGTCATGTTTTGTTCTTTTATGGTTGGGGGATACAAGTTCCAGATTTTTCTTTTCTGCAGTGCCTTAAAGTTTTAAAGTGGACTCTCACAGAAATATCTTGTGAGTAAACAACTCACATGTATATTTTTGTGCCTCTATGGCATGGTGAAGTTTGAGGACTTGCTATGTAGCACATTATTCAAAGGTCCATGTTATGTTCCTCGCTGATGCAGCAATGATTGGACACTCAACATGAAGATAACAGTGTTCAGTTCTACAGGATTTGCTAGGAGGTAGAGTTAGAATTCTTCCATTCCCATTTGAGATGACAGAAAAACATCATATCCGGGCACTTGACATTTATCAAGGATGGAATACTGACCGCCCACCAACTTGTATTGTCTACTAAACTTAGAGAATAAAGCTGGGTGATCTTTTAAGAATTCTCACAATTGCGGTCAGAACTCAAAATTCTTGAAGCATTATGCTTGGGACAGATAGAGAGTTCTGTCTATCAAAACTGACAACGGAAGACTTATATCAGTGTAGAGAAATTGCAGTGTTCCTGCTTCATTTTATATGTAACTCTGGTTTTTATCTTAAGGATGATGTTGATATGTGGGTGGAAACCGAGACTTTCAAGACCGTCTCTTACCGATCGCACTAATTTGCTTTACACCACTTAATTGTTTTCAATAAAAAAGCTGTAATTTTCCTTTGCAATTTATTACATTTACTACTTCATTGAGCTTGTCTCTTAAGAAGTAAAGCAAAGATTAATTCAGCAACTTATATAGTGCCCTTCACAGGGGTTAGTGTCTTGGAGTGCTTAATAGTGGCGGAACTTGACACTGAGCCAGGGCGAAGGGGGAGGTGATTGTAGGCACAGTCAAAGAGGAAGGTCTTCATGTGTGATATGGAGAGGGGCAAAGAGGAGACAGGGTGAATGGAATGAGGCAGAGAGTTCCATAAGTTTAGGGCCATGGTGGCTGAAAGCATGGCCGCCAATGGTGAAGTGGCGGGAACGTGCAGAAAGCTGAGAGCAGTGAGCTAGTAGAGTGGGGTGCAAGTCAGTCGGAGAGGTATGGAGGTGCCAGAGCACGAAATGATTTGTACAAGAGTGTTAGAATCCTGAAATCGATCTGTTCTGCAATAGGGAGTTAGTGGAGCCTGGCAAGGAGTGGGGTGATAGGGAAATGGAGTTTGGCATAGGTGAGGATAGAGGCAGAGGAGTGTTTAATTAATTGGATTATTTCATGCATTGACACTAAAAAAATTAAATTGAGTGCATGTAACTCAAGAAAACACATCAAGCCTATTCCATTCAAGAATCATAGAAAATCAGCTTTTATCCTTTTCCTACCTAATCCTAAGGAAATATTAAAATTCAGCTGGCATCATTTAGCCCATCTGCTTAAAGAGTCAAGATCTTTTTGAGTGCTCTTTATCTCCCTTATATTTGTCCACTGACTACATACATTGGTTCCATCAGCAAATGTTTTAATAAACGTATTCTCTTCTGTATTTCTGAATTGTGAGAACACCATGGGATCCAGAGCATGCTCATTTAAAACTCTGCTAGTCACTGTCAAAGCAATTTACATTTATCATTACATTTATTGTTATGGCCAAGTCAGTTTTCAATCTGTTAAATTGCTGCAAATTCAACAACAATTTACATTTATATAGTGCCTTTCGCATCAGGGAAATGTCTCAAAGTGCTTCATGCACTTATGAGTGATTAAATTTTAAAAGTCTCGCATGTGAAACTTTTTTCAGATGCCTTCTGAAAATCCAAGAAAATTGCATCCACTGGACGGACTGCCCTCATCCACTATTTAGTTATTACCTGGAACAACTTAAGTGGATAAAAGAGGCATTGCACAAGCCTTGTAGTCTTTATGCTTTGTCATGTATATTGAGTAATTTTAATGCTTTGTGCGTTCGATAAAATTCTTTCTAGTGATTTTTNAATTCCTTACTTGTGTGTGTCTCTCCTTTGCTTTGCCTTCCACAGGTGATAATTTGGACAAATTCTTGGATAGATTTCAGCAAAGTCGGAATGATAATGTTGCTGTTCCATTCAATGGGAATGTAACTGACTACATCACATCAGACGAAGCCGCAGCAATGTTACCAACGCAGGGCATAGGTAAGACAAAGGAATCTGTGTTCTTCATGCTCTGGTACTGGGCTAAAGGAATCCAAATCAGTTGCAAAGAAGGCGTTGGTAATATGACATTTTCCAAATGGCAGTAAATTTGAAAGAGTGATCTGTAATTGCAAAGGCAAATTACAGTTTGCGCTGATTTTTTAAAAAAAATAATAATAATCCTTGCATTTTGAAGCTTGGATCGATCTTTGGTGATATTGAACCAAATAATATTGTGGAGGAGAGAAAAATAATGCAGCTCAAGTGACAATTATGTTAAGTAATCCTACTTCTTTCCTTCCCTCCAGATAAGTTTGCGGAAGTGTTCCAGATTTATCCATCTCAGCTAACCATTGCCCGGAAATTGTTATCTCAAGTGTGTTCCATAGCAGACTCTGGAACACAGAGTCTGGATCTCGGACGTTTTGGCAAGGTCGATTTCATTATTTTAGTACCACCTTCAGAGATTCTTTTCCATCAGACTTTGCAATGGATTCGGCAGTCAGGTAGGCAGCTGGAATTCCTATTAACTTTGTTACAAAAGCGCAGGAGAGAAACATTACAATATCGTTGCCAGATAATAGCAATAATAATAATAATCCTTTTGTTATTCTTAATACAATAATAATATTATAATAACTATTAACAATAATAATTATAATCAGATGTAGCACAATTAAGAGCGTACCAGGCTTACTTATCTATTTACTGTTGCCTCATGTTGTAACAGATTGGTATCATCAAAGTTATCAAATTGCTTAATTTAGATTCAATAGGATATATTTCCTTTTTAAAATTATGTGTTATATCAAGGTGGATAGACTTTTCTTTATTTTCTGCCATCTCAGACTAGGCACCTTTTGATTCCATCAGGGCAGAATGAGTGCCCTTTTCTCATTGCCAATGCTGCTCTTTTCTCTCCTATTCTCCTGGAGGCAATGCTTCATATTACATATTACAGCTCCATATTACTTTGCCTCAGTGACCATTCCTCTTGTGTGTTGGGCATACTCTTCAACCATACAGGGTTATTGCAAACAAGTCTGTTCCTGTCCTTACCTGGGGCCAATATTGCTATCTGGTTATAGATTTACAATGTTAGTTGTACAACTCAAGATTTTGGCAAATTTTGGAAAATTTGTAATTAAGTCGTCATTTTGAATCAAGTTTCCCGCATTCTGTTTTAAAAACTATAGAAAACTGTCTCCTAAAAGAACCCACTGAATTTAAGAATTCAACAACAACAAGATTACATTTTTATAGCGCCTTTCATGTCAGGACGACATCCCAAGGTGCTGCAATTCGCCAAATTTGCATTTGCCGAAATGTTAAGTAAAGTTTAAAACCAGATGGAAATTTTGCTCCTGATGTTTACCTACATCTTCTGGTCATGGAGGGTAATGGTGTCACTCCCACTGGGCCCTGTTGAGAACTAACTCAACTAATCAACTATCTCAGCGTACACCAAGGATCAATGCTGAGATCTCACTGCTGGGTATAGCTCAGTTCCACAAAAGGCACTTACCAGCTGAGTCCTTGGAGGAAATCTGTTTTGTATACATTACCCCATTATTATTCATTATTCAATTATTTTCTCATATTATTGCTATTATTTTTACATTCAAGTTGTTCAGTGCTACAGATTCATTTCTCATATGTGATAATGCTAGAATCACAAATCTTTCATGTAGTTTTTGTTAAATAAATTCTGGCTCATTCATCTTGAATTGAATACTTAGAAATCCATTGAGAAGCTATAGATTGATCATGCATCTCCACATAACGTAAATTGACTAATGTTGTAATATCACTGTTTTTTTAACAGGAGTGCTGGTTGACTTGGGTCTTGAGGAGAATGGGTTAGCCTTCCAAAAAGCCGATAAATACATTGTTCGATTAGACAATGACATTCAAAACAAGTTTGAGGTGTTTATGAAGAAGGTGAAGCAGAATCCTTACACCCTCTTTGTTCTCATTCACGACAACTCTCATGTCGATTTCACTAGGTAAGTTTGCAGTTTTTTGTTAGTTCCCCTTTCTCCCCTTCTCAGTTTCCTCAGCTGTACATTGTGCAATGTTCAGCACCTTGGGACATCCTCCCAATGTGAAAGGCGCATTACAAATGTAATTTTGTTGTTAAATTGTGTGTCTGGTGTTTTGTGTACGTGTATCGTGTGTGTGTGTGTGTATGTACCTGTGTCCTGTGTGTGTGCCCTTGATATCCTGTGTTTATGTGCCTTATATGTGTATAACCTAATTTGAAAACAAACGTCACAAGTAATAGAAACGAAGTGTATAAGTGGTTAAAAATCTTGTTGAAATGCTGTTCTCTTGATTTTCTTCTGGATTAAATTTTTCCTATTTCTAGGAACATTTATAACATTGCTCCTTGGGTATTTAAGTTACAGTAACTCCCATTTGCAAAGAGTCTTTAATTGTGGGTCCCTTCAGTCTTGTTTCAGGTTCTGCTTCACATGGAGAATCCAGTCAAGGACTGTTGGACAAGTTGATTAACTCCCGTGAAGCCCTTGAAGCCTGCAACTTGCTTGTGTTGCAGATCAGTTCCTTTCCCTTCACTTTACAGACACATCAGTCCCGTATTAGTTCCTATAATGAAGTGCACTGGATTCTTTCCAACACTCCTGTAAGTAATTACAATGATTGTGTATATACTGTAACAGGATTTTTTGCTTTTCGGCTAGGTTATTGTCGTGTAATGAACAGTTACCATAAGGTCACTGTAAGTGTCAGCCTGGCTCGTTCTGGTAACATTCAGGCCTCTTGGGAGAGAGATTCTGGGTTCAAGCCCCACGTTGGAACTTTGAACTCAGTCTAGGCTGACACTCCAATATAGTGCTGGGGGAACGTTGGATTGTCAGAAGTGTTGTCCTTCGAATGAGACTTCCAGGTACAGGTGGATGTTAAAAAACCCATGGGACTATTCAAACTGACAAGAACATTTATTTCCAGTATACTGGCCATCAATCCCCCAAATAACATTGGTCATTTACTTCATCACTGTTTGTAGGACATTGTTGTGTGCAAATCTATTTTCTGTACATGTTGACATGTAGGATAATAATCCTTGCATTTTTTTGATAACTGAATTCCTCTGCTGGTTGATTGAAGAAAAAAGCATCTATATTTAAGAGGAAATTTGATATATACATGAGACAGAAGGCAATAGAGATATAAGAGAAGGGGAATAAAAGAGGTGACCACCACAGATGAGTTGGTTTGACTGGCCCGTTTTCATGCACATCATTCTATGTAATTCTGTGGTCACATAGAGCTTTCATTTTAACGTGCTGAATTTGTTGTGAGTGATAAAATGAGATTGAACAATTCTTGAAATGTCCACTCTTCCCCCCCAGCTACTGACCACTAGGTGGCAGTACTCTCCTCCAGGTGAGTAATTTATCCTTTTCCAATTCTTGCTGAACATATTATTAAATTTTAAAAGTGAGTGTGTTTTGTATTGCACATTGTAGGCCTTGGAGTTGATTCTAAGGGTTCTTTATTCCTTTCATTTGTATTTTCCAGGGCTGGTGTGTTAAGGAGCAGTGAGAGCCCCACTCTCCCCCAGTCAAAAAATAGCTTTTTACCAATTAAGCGGTTTAGTCGGCCTCAGCCGATGAGCCAAAGTTAATGTTTGGCCGGGGAGAGTGTGATTTTCATCCCTCTTCGGAACATCAAGCCAGGCAAATAAATATGAAACATAATTAAAAACCTTTTGAATCTAGAACCTTAGAAGGCTTACAATTTATAGTATATAAACACTGATCTCTTCAAAATAAAAGCAATGGCAAATGGATGGATCTGAAAAGGAAGGAGCCACTTACCAGGAAGAGTTTGCTACCATAGAATCTTACTGGACAGATGGAGGCCATTTCACCCATCATGCCTTTGCTGGCTCTTTGAAAGAGCTATTCGACTTGTCCCATTCTTTTGCCCAATAGCCCTGCAAATTTTTCCTTTTCAAATTACCTTTTGAAACCTGCTACCTAATTTGCTTCTATTACTAACTTGTGGTTGATAATTGACTGCATTGTTCTTAATATTGTGGAATATAGAAATCTAGGATGCAGATACATACCAGAGTTTGAAGATTGAAGGTCAAGTAGAATAGACTTCAAAAAGGCAAACGTGATTGTGAATGTTTTATATCAGGGCATTGAATACAAAGGAAAGGAAATATGCAAACCATCAGTTTGGCCACATTTGGAGTACTTTGTGTAGTTCCAGGAATCACATTGAGGATAGGACCTAGTGGATCATTACAGAAGTACAGGATTGTCACTTTAACTGATCGACAGATCCTGATCAATAGTGCTGGGATGAGGAGGAACCTGTAACTTATAATTTCCTCAGGATTCCTGTCCTACATTAATTTTGAATCTTGGGGGTCTAGGTTTCATATTCACAAAAGGATTAGCAAATCTGGCAGGTAAACCACCAGTATTGTGTGACTCTGACCCTCCAGAGCACCGCTCGGATGCTGATCTCCATTTCTACTTCTGGGTAGATGGATTGCAGCCAAAGGAGGCACCTGGCATGAATTCGGCATCTGAGCAGAATTGTGGATGGTTGGCATCATACACACCTAGGCATGTGCAGGAACTGTTGTTCATAAACACTTTGGCGAATATTGCAAATTAGTCCCCCTTGTTGTAATGGCAAGCATGTACTTAGAGGTGTAAATGCTGGGCAATTGAGCAGGGAGGAAGGAGAGAACAGCTTTAGATGGACTGAATCTGGGAGAGGACCCATTTTTCACAAGTGTCACTTCTTACTTGCACAAGCACAAAACAGGACAATGACAGCCACGGAGGCATGAAAAATACCTAACTCAAGTAACCTAAGATGAAAGGACTTAATAATATAAAAGGTTAATAAATGTGCTTTGTGGCTTCAATGGGTTGGCTATTTTGGTTTATGGAGCAGAATGACTTTCTGTTTGGCAGGACTGAGAAAATAGTTATTGGTACACCGAAGAAAGAAATTTTGTTTTCGCAAATGGCTTAGCCTTTTTTTAAAAAAAATGCACAAACATGAAACAAATGCATCTGTGGTTTACCAAAAGTATATTATTGTTTTCAGCCTGGCTTTAATAGGAGTTCTGAAATAAAAATGCAAGTAGTATATTCTGAGAGATTTCAGTTACAGATTCACTCAGTATAATTTCATTAGTTCCATATGTAGCTTGCGGCTTTCAAGTGCTAGCGTGATACTGGATGTAGAGAGAGCAAGGGCTGTTTTATACTGTTGGCCATCCATTAGCTCGTAATAACTTGAAGCAATACTTTTTGTCTTTTGTTTCTTTTCTTCCTGAACTGAGAGTACACCAAATATAATTTTGTTGTTGTGGGTTTGGAGGGCACATTGTATTCTCTGAAGAGATTGTCAAGCATATTCATACCATAACTAGTAGTCCCACCTTCAGTGAGAGAGACTATCCAGTCTGACCTCTGCAGTGCAGGTTGCCCAATAAATAGGACCAGCCTGGCTGGCTCACAGACACAATCCTTGATCTGATATACAGTGAGGCCAAAAGTGTGCTATTCACAAACTGGATTTGTTGTATTCATTACCACTTCCGACTTAGGAATGCTAGACTGCGAGTTTAGTGAAAAACATGAATCTTGAGTCCCAAGCCAGCATAAATTGGGGGAAAAGGCCATCAGTCTGTCTGGCTGGCCTTTTCTTGGTCTTTGCTGTAGTTTTGTGAATAATGATTTGCCATTCAAGAATTTACGAATGGGTATTCCCAATCCTGAAGTCAGAATTAACGCAATGAATCTGGTTTGTAACTTTTGCTTTCTTGGCTCCAATGTTCAAACCGTTGCCAGTAGATTTTCATCAGCAACATCTTGTACTTATAGAACACTGTTCAAATAGGAGAATGTATCAAAGAGCTTTACAGAGACTGAGTATAGTGGAAGATACATGAGTGGCAGTGTACAGTCAAAGATTTTTAGATGGGTTTTGATAGACCACTACACCTTACTGAAACTCAGAGATTCCACTGTCAATGTGGAGACACTACTCACTCCTCACTCTCATGGTCACAATCTGATCTAAGTCCCTCCCTTGTGGACCTGCATCCTTAAATCAGCCATATTTACTAGTTTGTTTACAGTTCATAAGTGCTGTCTGCACTCAGCAGAACTTGTCAATCACTTTCAAACTGATAACAGGAGAGAGAGATACAGACACACACACATGCAGAGAGACACATAGACACACACACACACACACAGTTACAGAGAGACACACAGAGATAGTTACAGATGGACACAAAAATTGTATGAATTTTTGCATGACCTATTTCAAGTTTACGTTACAACTAAAATATAGTGAAATTAAGGAATATAGTTGCAAAATTTTAAAAAATAGGATTTGTACATGATTCTTTTGGGTTATGTCTCTGGAAGGAAAACACAATAATATTGCATATACGTCCCACAGATACTTCTCAAACCCAGTATCCAGACCTCAGCAACCAAAAAGTTGGGACACCCTGCCATAGACCACATGTTCCTTAAAGCCCTTGGAGCTGTAACAAACTCAACCGTAGCAGATACACAAATTGCTGCAGAGCTCCTTCCTTTTAATCTTTACTTGTTTTAGGTGATATTTGCATAGCAGTAAATATTGTCAACTTTCTGAGGCTATTAAAATCACCAAGGCAGTAAATCTAATGCTAGTTCTAGTCATGTTCTCAGAGGTTAATTTAAAGTCAAAGCAATAAAACCCAAAGAGCATGGAGTAAATTTTTTTAATTTTGTTTTCACTTTGTAATATTTGCATGTGGCCGTGTTTTTCTCACTTTTTGGACAGGTTTTCTCAGTGTACAACAACAACAAGATTCCATTTATAAAGCGCCTTTCACGTCAGGAGGACGTCCCAAGGCGCTGCACAGTTGGGTCATGACCCGAGCAGGGGGGAAATGGTCAGGGTGAGGGGAGGGAAGGGAGGGAGCGAGGAGGGGGGAAATGGTCAGGGTGAGGGGAGGGAAGGGAGGGAGCGAGGAGGGGGAAGAGAGTCGAGAGGGGAGCTGAAGGCACGGTCAAAGAGAAAGGTTTTGAGACCGGCCTTGAAGGAGGAAAGGGAGGAAGCGGCGAAGGCACTGGGGGATGGAGTTCCAGAGCCTGGGGGCTGAGAGGCTGAAGGCCCGACCACCGATGGTAGGGCGGTTGGGGCGGGGGATGTGGAGCAGACCGGAGCCAGAGGAACGGAGGGTACGGACAGGTAGGTAGGGGGATAGTAGGTTGGAGAGGTAGGAGGGAGCAAGGCCGTGAATGGCCTTGTAGGCGAGGATGAGGATCTTGAATTCGATCCTCTGGGGGATGGGGAGCCAGTGGAGGCGAGCGAAGGTGGGAGTGATGTGGTCGCGAAGCCTGGTGCGGGACAGTACACGAGCTGCAGAGTTCTGAATGACCTGCAGCTTGTGGAGGGAGGTGGCGGGAAGGCCGGCGAGGAGAGAGTTCCCATAGTCCAGCCTTGAGGTGACAAAGGCGTGGACCAGGGTTTCAGCAGCGTGAGGGGTGAGGTAGTGCCGTAGTCTGGCGATGTTCCGAAGGTGATGGAAGGCGGTGCCAGTTGTAGTGCGGATGTGAGGGAGAAAGGACAGCTCCGGGTCGAACAAAACGCCGAGGTTCCTGACTGGCTTTGAGAGGTGGAGAGTGCAGCCTTGGATGCTGATGGTGTCAGCGCCTGAGGTGCGGAGGCGCTGACGTGAGCCAATCAGGAGGGCCTCGGTTTTTCGCACGTTGAGCTGAAGAAAGTTGTCTCTCGTCCAGGACTCGATGTCGGACAGGCAGGCTGTCAGGACATCGGTGGTCGTGGATTTTTTCATTTTTTTAAGACGGTGAGAAAGGTACGACCTAAACCATTCAAGGACAGTGCCTTGAAGGTTGAGGTGGGAGGACAAGCGGTGGAGTAGGATAGCGTGGTCGACCGTATCGAATGCTGCCGATAGGTCGAGGAGGACGAGGAGACAGAGGGAGCCCTGGTCACAGATGGTCAGGATATCATTGGTGACCTTGACCAGGGCAGTTTCTGTGCTATGGGCAGCACGGAAACCTGACTGAAGGGGTTCAAAAAGAGAATGGGTGGAAAGGAAAGAGCGCAGTTGGGAGGCGACAACTCTTTCCAAGACCTTGGAGAGAAAGGGGAGGTTGGAGATGGGCCGGTAGCTTGATAGCTGCGACGCATCAAGGGAGGGTTTTTTCAGGGTGGGCGTGATGATGGCAGTTTTTAATGGAATGGGGACAGAGCCAGAGGAGAGGGACAGGTTGATGATGTCAGTGATATGTGGGGCAAGAAAGTGGAGCTGGGAGATAAGGAGTGGAGTGGGGATGGGGTCAAGGGAGCAGGTGGTTGGTTTTAGGGATAGGATGAGTTCAGTGACAGAGGGTGGGGAAACGGGTACGAAGGTGTGTAGGGGAGGATGGGTAGGAGTCGGAGTGTGGGAGGGAAGGGGTGGGTGGAAGTTGGAGGGGAAGTGACCGCGGAGCGGATTCCCTTGATCTTGGATTCAAGGAAATCCAGCATCTCCTCGCAGTGAAGGTTGGAGGAGATGACCTGCGCGGGGTGGCGGGGGGGACGGAGGAGTCGGGTTGTGGTGGAAAACAGTAGCCTGGGGTTGTTCTTCGCCTCCAGGATTATCCTGGAGTAGAAGGACGACTTGGCCGAGGCTAGAGTGGAGCGGTAAATTTTGAGGAGGTCCAGCCAGATTTGTCGGTGGACCGTTAGGCCAGATTTGACACAGGTGCGTTCAGCAGCCCGCACCTGGCTTTTCAGTGAGCGGAGGTGGGTGGTGTACCAGGGGGAGGAGCGGGAGTAGGAGACAGTGCGGGAAGTGATGGGGGCAAGAGTATCGAGTGTGGAGGAGAGGGTATTGTGGAGGAGGGAGAGAGGAGAAGAGGGGTCGGTGAGGGTTGAAGGCCAGAGGGAGAGGAGTTCAGAGGACTCCAAGGCATCGGTTAGGGATTGTGGGGGTAACTTCTTCCAAGGGCGGTAGAAGATGGTGGTGGGTCTGGTGGAGGTGGGGAGGGGGTGGAGGTGGTGAAGGAGATGAAGTGGTGGTCAGAGATGGCCTTGTCGGTAATAGTGACATCCGAGACACTGAGGCCCCGGGTGATCACCAAATCGAGTGGGTGGCCGTGACTGTGAGTGGGGGAGTTGATGTGGAGAGAGAGGTTGAGCGAGGAGAGCAGGGAAGAGAAGTCTGTGGAGATGGAGCAGGAGGGGGTGAAGTGTAGGTTAAAGTCGCCCAGGATGATGAGGCGATCAGAGGAGAGGCAAAGAGATGTGAGGAGTGTTGAAATGTCAGAGATGAAGGTGGGAGAGGTTTTAGGGGGCCGGTAGAGGAGGAGGATTTTAAGGGAGAGGAATGAGGGGTGGGAGAGGGTGAGGTGCTCAAAGGAGGGGAAAGAGCCAGTGGAGTAGGGGGATAGGGCAAGTGGTGTCCTTGAGATAAGGGCAACACCACCGCCACGGCGGTTGGGGCGGGGGATGTGGTGGGAGGTGTAGCCGGGTGGCGTGGCCTCCGTGAGGGGGAAGGTGTCGCCTGGGGTGAGCCAGGTTTCTGTCAAGGCCATGATATCAACGTTCTCATCAAGGATGAGATCGTTGATGACCAGGGCCTTGTTGCAGAGGGAGCGGACATTTTGCAGTCCGATGTGGAGGGAGCGGTTGACAGAAGGGTGTGTGGGAGGGGAGGGGGTCCAGGTTGTGAGGCAGGGGTGGGGGGAATGGGGATGAGGGAGGAGAGGTTGACTCCCCGGGTCTGTGTCCGGGGTGGCTGGCGAGTGTGGTGGGGAATGGGGCAGTCGGTGTGGCTGCTGCTGGACAGCCAACGCCGAGTGCCGCGGTGAGCCCGGCGGAGGATTCCCAGGCTGGAGCAGAGGGAGGTTGTGGGAGGGTCAAGTGGGGATAGAAGACGAGAGGGACGGAGAGAGAGGAGGAGAGAGCGGGAGAGATGCAGAGGGGGGAGGGTTTGGGGGAGAGAGGAGGGGGGCGGGAGGGAGGGGGTGAGGGGGCTCGGGTCAAAGCGGCAGCCATAGTGCGCACGCGGGGACCGGGAGCGAGCGGTCAGGTGGATGGCATTATCCCGCAGATTGGGGCAGCGAACGCAACAGGACCATAGTGGGCTCTGATGTGAGCCCTGGGGGGGGGGGGGGGCGCAGAGGGTTTTTTTTTTTTTTTTGCGCGCGCACTCACCTGAAAACTAATCTATGACGTCGCAGTTCCCCCGCTCCGTCCCCTCCCCCTAGCTGCACTCGCTCCGGCGTCGAGTTTAAGTACCTGGGTCAGTAGGCCCAGGCTCCTCCCCGCGCTCTCCTGCCGCCGCTCCCCGACTGGGGAGTATTGTTTAAAATAAGAGATTTTGCCATACATTCCTGGCTAAATTGGATGGTTAAGTAGTTATAGAAAGGGAATAGCACTTATTCAATGGCCACAATTTTAATCATTGAGCGCGATGATTTGTTTTATTCCAAGTCATTTGCAACTGTTGCACCTAGATTCTAGGAAATTGAATAGTTTTTTTAAAAAGAAAAGATATCCAGGTAGGTTGAAACAAATCCTAGTAGGTACTGATTTTTTTGGATCCACTGTTTATCATTTGAAGAGTTATGATGGTATGTTGAATATTGACAACTAAGAAATATCTATAAAAATCAAAAATCAACCATTTGATCCTGGTTGGATTGAGTTCATTTCAACGTTGTCACTTAGTTTCCTTACTCCACACGCCTCATAATAATCAATTTTCATTTTCAATCCACGACTGTTTGTGGGACACTGCTGTGCGCAATTGGCGGCCACGTTTCGCCCACAAATATACGGTCAATTCACTTTACAGTCTATTCTGTGAAGCGCTTTGAGACGTCGAGAAGACATGAAAAGCGCTATATCAGATGCAAGGATTATTATTATTATTTGGAGAGTTTTCATCCATCCTTCGGATGAGATGTTAAGTCCTGGCTGCCTGGTCGACATTAAAGATCCCGTGGCACTGTTCGAAAAAAGAAAGGGAATTTCTCCTGGATCCTGGCCAGCAATCCCTCAAATAAAATTGGTTGTTCACTTTGTAACTGTTTGTGGGACACTGCTGTGCGCAACTGGCTGCTGTGTTTCGCCCACCAAATACACAGTCAATTCCCTTTTCAGTATATCCTGTAAAGTGCTTTGAGATGTCTCGATGATGTGATAAAGCATTACATCAAATGCAAGGATTATTATTAGTTGTATTATTCTTTGACAGCCATTGGTCGGTTTGACATATTTTTAGCCATAAAAGGGTTTGTTGTCAAGTTGACGTTTGATTATTTAAAATTAGGCGGAGTGGATGATAGGATGTTACAGCACGGAGACAGGGTAACGGGGCAAAGCTTTTTCCATACTCTCTAACCTTAGTCCGTTTCTCCTTCATCCGTCAGGAGGAGGTTGGCGTTGAGGAGATGGTGTACTTTGGTTTATCTGATTATAGCAAGTCCTTGCAGTGGGGAGTCACCAGCCCCATCCTGAGATGTGATGAGGCTTTTGAAAGAATGGTCAATACCTTAATGGGAAGGTAAGCGGATTACATTTTCTCCTTTTCCTTGTCACACATTCCCCCTCCCCCCCCCCCATTGTAAGTCATCCCACATCTTCAGATCTACTTGATTTTCATGCTGTGTGCCAAGACTTGCCTGCTCCTGGACCTCTGCCAATGCCCCCTCAAAGCTGCCAACCAAGAAACTTTAGGTACCACCCAGGCGTGACTTTCTCATCTGATTTTTCCTTCATCCGTTGCAGGAAAATGCTGCACTTGGCACTAAACAGATTGAATCTATCTTCAGCTCACTGCATAGCACGAAGCACCATGGCTGTACGTACCGCACCATGTCACAGTGTTGCTCAGAGTCATTTTATCTTGAACCTCAAGAAACCTCCATTGTATAGTTGACTTAACTGAGATTAAACAAATAAATGTTTTGAATGATCGGACTACAATTCTTTTTTGTCTCTCCGCAAATTCTACAGCTACTTATGTAGAAACAATATTTGCCTTTCATGTCTGAACATTGCACAGCTATCTCGACCATTGTGCAGGTGAAATCAGTCAATAGTTAAATACTTGGCAAGAAAATTGTTGAAACACGGCCATCTCTCATAAAGTTCTGCTCGACTGTTCTTTGTTTTATTTAAAGCAGATAAATAAAATGAACAGCTACTCTATCACGAATACCTTGAGCTCCCAAATGACCTTGTAGACAAAGGTATCTCAAGGTGTAGAACAAAGCAATATTGACCAGAAGCTTGTGGTTTGACTTCCAGTCTGTACAGAATTAGTTGATCTCAATGTGGTAGTAACCGAGTGCTTTAATTGATTTTACCTCTCCGTTTTAGCAGGGAAAATCAGTCAGGATTCTTAATCCTAATCGCTAACCCCCAATCGCCCCTCCTCCTCACCCACCCGAGGTGACATTTCAACAATTTTCTTGCAAAGTATTAAAATTGCAGTCTGATCATTCAAAAAATTATCATTTAGGAAGACAGTGATTTCTTTTTAAGACCTGCAAAAAGGCATCTTTCAAATTAAGAATGCATTTAAGAATTTTCCACAATTTTGTGCTGTCCTTCAGATGCAACATAAAACCGAGGCCCCGTCTGCCTGTTCAGGTGGACGTTAAAGATCCTTCTCGTAGAGAAGAGTTTCTCTAGTTGTCCAGGCCAACAAACTTCCAGATAAAATAGATCATTCACACCCTAGTACTTCCCTATCTCTGATATTCTCCTATTCCAGTCTACTGTTTGCCCCTGCCGCTCAATTAACTTGGGCTTTCTGTGCATCTGCTGCCCTCTCCTTACCACAATCAGAGACCGAGCCTTCAGATACTTTGCCCTTCTGGAACTCCCTCTTTCTACCTCTCTGTTTCATTATCCCTCCCTCCCTTCGAGCTTTATTTGCTGCCTAAAACCCAGCCCGTCACCTTGTTTTAGGCAGCAAATAAATTGCTCTGAATTGCTCTGACGCATTATCCTACGTGAAGGTTGCTATTAATATATAAATTCAAGCAGTCATGCAAACTTACGTGCAAGCTTAGGTGCCCATCCAGCGCTGTTAAGCACTTTGACACATCATTCCGACATGTAAGGTTGACCTGTGGCAATGAAGATTCTGAGTCTCTTATCTTTTAGGTACCCCAGATTACACAGTATGGTCATCCGCTGTTACCTGCTTATTCAGCAATATGCTGAAGCTATGATGGCTGTCACATCCATGAACGTGCTGAGAGAACACACCACCCCTGAAACTCTCAGCATCATGGACGACCTGATCAGCTCTCCAGGAAAGGATAAGATTGGACGTGGACATATGCTTTTGATCCGGGTTCCGTCTTTGCAGCTAGCAATGCTCGCCAAAGAGCGGCTGCAGGAAGTTCGAGATAAACTGGGTCTGCAGTATCGCTTTGAGGTGATTCTGGGCAATCCTGCCGCAGAACTCAGTGTCGCGAAACACTTTGTTACCCGAATGAAGGTAGGATTTTTGGTTCTGTATATGTATTTTTTAAAGGAGAAAGGAAACTAATCTTGATAAAGTAAGTATGTATATCTACCAAGAACCTAATATGAATTCTGCTTTGTGCACACACTCAGCAGGGCATTTCACATCATAACAACTCCTGGGATTCTTTCCTCATCCAAATTCGCTCTAAAAATTTCGAATGAATTTGCAGCTAATCTCATTGTAGTTTTTAGGACATTGTTGCTGTATACATTGCTTCAATGACAACATCCACTTTGTTTCTAATTGATATAAATCACATTCATGTGTTTCTTTTATTTATATGTTGCTATAATCAGTGTAAGTTGTACTTTAGCTGTGGAGTCCTGTAGCTCAGTGGTGAGAGCACTCGCTTTGCAAGTGAGAGACCGGAGTTCAATTCCAGGCAGTGCGAAACCTTGGGCAAGTTTCCTTACTCCACATGCCTAATAATAATCCCTCCAAAAAAACAAAACAATAATAAATTGGTCATTTTCAATCCATGACTGTTTGTGGGGCATTGCTGTGCGCAATTGGCTGCCGCATTCGCCCACAAATATACAGTCAATTTACTTTACAGTATATTCTGTGAAGCGCTTTGGGACGTCTAGAAGACATGAAAAGCACTATATCAAATGCAAGGATTATTATTATTATCTAATGTTGACCAGTGCTCTCGCTGAAGTTCAACTCTGGAATTTGGCAACTTGGTTTGTACCCATTAGAAGGTTGGTTGAAACTAGTTGGTTGACATAATTTCCAAGATTCACAAAAAGGATTTGTAACTGTCGAATCTCAGATGTGTTCCAACTAACCCTCTGGAACTCCAACCTCAGTGATGACTTCTGTGAACTCAGTGTCCAACAGAAGATGTGGAGGGTTAGTTCTGAGGCGTATCCAGGATTCACAATTCCTTCTGTGAATCTTGCAAATTATACCTCACCATTGAAACTTGTTTCATATAGCAGTTGTCAGACATTTGATACTCCAACCGGTTTGTCTACAATGGGCATGAGCAAAGGCTTCAGGAACAAAATGTCAGTGCTCCAATCCACTGCGCATCCAGTCAATTTATGTTCTTTGCAATGTATACATTATTTGATGCATTTGAACATAGAGACGTTTCTGGTTTGTATTGGTCAATAACCACAACATACGGTGCATTTAGCAGCTAAACTACCAGAGCAGTCAGCTTTCACTGTTGTTCATCAAATGATTATATTTAGTTCAGACTTTCTCTACTTGTAGGCCTGGCGAGAGTGTGAGCAGGAGGATTGGATCCCAATCACCTATCAAGATTTGGAAGGTCTGCCATGTATTGTAATCTTAACTGGTAAAGATCCACTTGGCGAATCATTTCCAAGGTAAACAATTATTTAACCTAACATTTATTGATTTCACATTAACTGCTCTCAGTCATCAACAATCAATGATTGTTATTTACATAATTAGAGGCACCTGCCATGGAGCGAATGACCAGTTTTATTTGGGAATTGTTGGCCACAACACCAGAAGAAACGCCCTTGCCTTTTTGAATAGTGCCATGAGATCTGGTTGTTTGTGGGACATTTCTTTGTGCAAGTTGGGTACCACGTTCACCTACAAGCACTAGACTTGTACATAAAATAATAATAATAATCCTTGCATTTGACACAGCGCCTCATCACGTCGTTGAGATATTTCAAAAGCACCTCACAGAATATACTGTAAATTGTAGTAACTGTGTTTGTGTGGGATTTTTTTGTAGACTCTACAGCAATGATGGGTAACTTTTATGGTTGACTCCCAAAATAAATGTTCTTGATTGAATATTTCTTGATTTATGCCACAAATCAAGAAATGTTCAATCAAGACAAAAACACGACTGATGGACTTACCTAAACTCGTGCGAATGTTCAGGAGGACGCTTCTTGACTCCCATATCCGGTATTGGTCAATAACCACAACATACGGTGCATAGGTGAGCCACAGGTTGACCACTGCTTTACAATGAATCCTGTGATACACCGAGATATCTCAACCATGCAATGAGGCGATAAAGCAAATTCAAGGATTATTATTCTAACAGGAATGTACTTTTTTTTCCCCAAAAATTTCTTGTATTATTTTGTTCAGGTCTATGAAGTACTGTGACCTGAGACTAATTGACTCCAGCTACCTTACACGCACCACCCTGGAGCAGGAGATAGGCATTGCTTGTGGCTATGTCTCAAAAGGTGCCGTCAGAGAAACAGTGGTAGTTCTCGAGGAAAAGGAGCAAGAAAAAGTTCATATCAGTGAGAACGAATCTGATGAGCTGCAGATTGATCTGGAGAGGCCCCAGAGTAACAGCAGCGCGATCACTGGAACCTCAGGTTAGTCGTGTACCTTCCCAAACTCTTCTCCTTTCTCTTTAGATGGAAACATATCTATCTCCTTCTTAAACATCCCAATAGTGAAACAAGGCAATAAGGGGTATGGAGAAAATACAGGGAAACGGGATTAAAAATTCTGTGGGGTGACATTCCACCCGCGTCTGGATTTATTCTTATTAATATAGCATTTCCACCCCCACTCGGTCAGCAACCAATTTGCGCGCAGAAAATTGTCAGTTATGAGTTCCTAGTCCCAAGGTGGGGCTTGAACTCATCACCTTCTGACTCATGTGATGGTATTGTGAACAGGGAAAAGATGACTGAGAGCAGAATAAATATCAAAACAGGTGGAAAAATTCGGGAGTGAAATTGTAGAATAAGATAGTGCTGTGTACCATGCAATGCAATCGAAAAGATTAGGGAGGTTTGACAAGGAAAACAGGAGACAGAAGTGAAGGAAGGTATTGAGGAAAGATGATGAGTTGAGGCAGATGATTAATCAACAAAGTTCAATGTTGATGAGAAATACGACAAAACAATATTGTAAATTGATCATTTCACAATGCACTATATGTAGCAATTATTTCAAGTGCAATAAATATTTACAGTAAGAGAACTGATGTCTTTCTGTACTGATTGGGACCAGTCCCTTTGCGGTTATGAAAATCATATGGATATCAAGTCTGTGTGTGTGTCTGTGTCTCTCTCTCTCCATACTACTCTAGCTGACTCCCAAGTTATTTTATCTCTAATCCTGTACTGACATGTATCGGATTGCTGCAGTAGTCAAGAAACACAGTAAACTCGTGCAAATGCACACAGCGAGAATTATTTGCCAACACCACAGCTTGACCTCATGAGTGGGTAGTAGTTCATTCACGTGGTATCTACTCTATTTAATATATGATATATAACATAATCCTTTCAATTGATATACCGTCTTTAACATCAGAAAGGCATCTCAAAGCACTTCACAGGATTACTATAAAGTACATTTACTATCATTTGTAAGCGAACAAAACTGCATTAATTTAGTTTTTCTGTCCAACAGGTTCAGTAGTGGAGAATGGAGTGAGCTCCACCAGCGCAGTGGACGCATCGCAGAGGCCGACCTCATCCCTCAGCTTTCAGAACATTGTGATCTGCTCGAGTGATGAGGGCATGTCTGCACACACCTCGGCCAGCGTGGCCAGCGAGGGCTGCAAACAGGAGTGCGACTCGGAACTGAAGGAAACAGCAAGCACCAGCACAGTCTCAAAATCCTCCTTATCCTCCCGGATTTCCAGGCAATCAAACGTAACTAGCAAGGAGTTCAAGCCCACCCACCTGGTTTCTCCAAGAACTGTCATATTGTCAAAGGCCGCGTATTATCTCCTTGGCTCAGAAAAAAACACACACTTGTGTTCTGCTGCTCTGTTGCCTCACGCTGATGTGGGTTGGTCCAGCTCACTGAGGCCTCTTTTCCACAAAGACATGAACAGTGAAGAGCAGTCACTTTATTACAGACAGTGGACGTTTGCCAGGCAGCACCATGCAGACTTCAGCAACAAGAGCGAAGGAAATCTTGCAAATTTCCATCGGCGAAGGTTGTTATTAGTAGGGCCACCTCAGGTAAACCGAGATGGGATTATAGGAATGGATGTTTTGTGTCATCTGACATGTCTCTGAGAGTAAAAATGAAATAGTGAAAAAAATCTTTCTTTCTCAGAACAAATGCAACGGTTATATCCCTCAATCAAAATATTAGCCCAATAGACTGAAAGCATGGTTGAAGAGGAGGGTCTTGAGATGGGTCTTGAAGGAGGCAAGGAAGGGGCCGAGGCAGACGGACTGTGTGGTGGAGTTCCAGAGGGTGGGGGGGGGGGCAGTGTCTGAAGGCCTGGCCGCCAACGGTGGTAATAATCTCTCAAAAAAAAACAAAAATAAATTGGTCATTTTCAATCCACGACTGTTTGTGGGACACTGCTGTGCGCAATTGGCTGCCGCGTTTCGCCCACAAATATACAGTCAATTCACTTCACAGTATATTTTGTGAAGCGCTTTGAGACATCTAGAAGACGTGAAAAGCGCTATATCAAATGCAAGGATTATTATATCTGTGCAATATCGTGGACCTCCCTAATATCTTTGATTCTTTAAATATTATAATGCACTGCCATGAGGTTCTATTTGAATTAAGTTTATATTTATGACAAACCAACATCTGAAAAATAATGGCTATACAAGGTTGTCTGAGTAAACTAGTACCACATGTACGATACTTAGTGAAGCAATGTGCTGGGTGACATCCAAGGGTATATATAGAATCATAGAATTATACAGCATAGAAGGAGGCCATTCGGCCCATTGTGTCTGTGTCGGCTCTTTGAAAAGAACTATCCAATTCAATCCCACTCCCCCGCTCTCTCCCCATAACCCTGCAAATTTGTCCTCCCCAAATAATTATCTATTTCTCTCTTTAAAGCTGTTACCGAATCGGCTTCCACCACGCTTTCAGGCAATGCATTCCAGATCCGAATAACTCGCTGTGTGAAAAAATTTCTCTTCACCTCCCCTCTGTTTCTTTAACAACTATTTTAAATTGGGGTCCTCGGGTTACCGACTCATCTACCAGTGGAAACAGTTTCTCCTTGTTCACCCTATCAAATCCCCTCATAATTTTGAAAACTTTTATTAAGTCTCCTCTTAACCTTCTCTAGCCTCTCCTGATAACTGAAGTCCCTCATTCCTGGTACCATACTGGTAAATCTGCTTTGCACCTCTCCAATGCCTTGACATCCTTCCTAAAGTATGGTACCCAGAACTGAACACAGTACTCCAGCTGAGACCTAACCAGTGTTTTATAAAGGTTCATCATAACTTCCTGACTTTTGTATTTTATGCCCCTATTTATAAAGCCTAGTATCCGGAATGCTTTTTTAACAGCTTTATCTACCCGTCCTGTCACCTTCAAAGATTTACTTATATGAATCCCCAGGTCTCTTTGTTTCTTCACCCCCTTTACGATTCTACCATCAGCTTAGATTGCCTCTCCTCATTCTTCCTTCCAAAATACATCACTTCGCATTTCTCCACATTAAACTTTACCTGCCTATGTCCTCTTGCAGTCTGCTACTATCCTCCTCACTGTTTATTACATGGAGTCCTGTAGCTCAGTGGTTAGAGCACTCGCTTTGCAAGTGAGAGACCTGAGTTCAATTCCAGGCAGGGCGAAACCTTGGGCAAGTTTCCTTACTCCACATTCCTAATAATAATCCCTCCAAAAAAACAAAAACAATAATTAAATTGGTCATTTTCAATCTACGACTGTTTGTGGGACATTGCTGTGCGCAATTGGCTGCCGCGTTCGCCCACAAATATACAGTCAATTCACTTTACAGTGTGTTCTGTGAAGCGCTTTGGGACGTCCCCCCGACGTGAAAAGCGCTATATCAAATGCAAGGATTATTATTATTATTATTTCCTAGTTTAGTATTATCTGCCAACTTGGAGATTGTACTCAAGTCCAAGTCATTTATTTAGATCAAAAACGGCAGTGGTCTCAATATCGACCCCTGGGGGACACTACTACACACTTGCCTCCAGTTGAAAAACAACCATTCACCACCACTCTCTGCTTTCTGTCTCCCAGCCAGTTCTGTATCTATGTTGCCACTGTCCCTTTAATACCGTGGGCTTCTATTTTGCTTACAAGTCTCTTAAATGCCACTTTATCAAACACCTTTTGAAAATCCATATAAACTCCATCAACTGCATTACCTTCATCCACCCTTGCTGTTACTTCATCAAAAAAACTATCAGGTTTGTTAGACATGATCAGCCTTTAACAAATCCGTGTTGACTGTCCTTTATTAGCCCATATTTTTCAGTGAAAATTTATTTTGTCCCAGAATAGAATCTCAAGAAGTTTCCCCAGTACTGACATTAAGCTGGCTGGCCTGTAGTTCTCGGATTTATCCTTCTGCCCCTTTTTGTACAGGGGAGTAACATTTACAACCCTCGAGTCCTCTGGCACCACCCTGGTGTCCAAGGAGAATTGAAAGATTGTGGCCAGAGCCTCTGTTATTTCCACTCTTGCTTCCCTCAATAACCTAGGTTCCATCCCATCCGGACCGGGTGACTTATCTACCTTGTACACCGTCAACCTTTTTAGCACCTCCTCTCGGTTTATTCTTATCTAATTTCTCTACCCTCTCCTCCGATACTGAGGCATTGGCTACATCCTCTTCTTTTGTGAAGAGAGATGCAAAGTACTCAATCAGTACGTCAGCCATGCCCTCTGCCTCCACAAGAAGATTTCCTCTTTGGTCCCTAGTTGGACCCACCCTATCTTTGACTAACTTTTTATTCTTCATATGCTTATAAAACATCTTAGGGTTCCCTTTTATGTTATCCTGTAATCTTTTCTCATACAATCTCTTTACCCCTCTTATTTCCTTTTTCAGTTCTCCTTTATACTTTCTATATTCTATTTGTTTATCTTCTGTATTTTGGACCTGACATTTATCATAAGCTTCCTTATTCTGTTTTATTTTAATTTCCTTATTCATCCAAGGAGGCTTGGATGCCCTACTTTTCTCCTTTGCGGGAATGTATTTGTTCTGTCTGCGAACTATCTCCTCCTTAAAGACTTCCCATTGCTCACTAGCTGTTTTACCTGCCAATCTTTATTTCCAGTCCACCTTGGCTCCTTTTTAACTCACTGAAATTAGCCCTCTTCCAATTGAGTATCTTCACCTTTGATTGTTCCTTGTCCCTTTCCATAATTACTTGAAACCTAATGATGTTGTGATCACTGTTGTCCAGATGCTCTCCTACTGAAACCTGCTCCACTTGTCCCACTTCATTCCCCAGAACTAGATCCCGCACTGCTTCCTTCCTCAATGGGCTGGAAACATATTGATCCAGAAAGTTATCCTGCACACATTTCAGGAATCCTTCCCCCTCCTTACCCTTTACACTGTTATTTTGCCAGTCTATGTTAGGATAATTGAAGTCCACCATTATCACTACTCTATTGGTTTTGCATCTTTCTGAAATCTGCTTGCAGATTTGCATGTCTTATCTCTTTCCCACTATTTGGTGGTCTATAGTATACACCTAACAGAGAAACAGCTCCTTTTCTGTTCCTTAACTCTAACCACATTGATTCTATTTTGGACCCTCCAGCACATCATCCCTTTCCAGGGCCATAACCATGTCTTTAATCAATATTGGCACTCCTTTTTTTCCTTATCTATCCCTCCCTTCAAAGGCTACAGATAATCCAGAAACTCTGCAGCCCGTGTCCTCTCCCGCACCAAACTCGCGACTCCATCTCCCCCATTCTCGTCCGACTCCATTGGTTCCCTATCTTTCAGAGGATCCAGTTCAAGATCCTGGTCCTCACCTACAAAGCCCTCCATGGCTTCTGCAACCTCCTAACCCCCTACCAACCCGCCCGGTCCCTCCGCTCAGACGGCTCCAGCCTGCTCCATGTCCCCCGACCCACCATTAGCTGGAGAGCCTTCAGCCACTCTGCTCCCAACCTCTGGAATTCCATCCCCCAATCACTCTGCTCACCCCCTCCTTAGCCTCCTTCAAGTCCCACCTCAAAACCCTCCTCTTGGACCATGCCATCGGTCACACTCCGTATATTTACACACAAGACCGACTGAGTCTGTTCTGCATTTCTCCCCCATCTAATCCCTCATTTTTCTGGATTACTCCTTGTTACATTGCTATTTGTCTCCCCCAGTCCTCTATATAACTTTTTTCTCCTCTCTGATGCTACGTCCTGATTCCCTTCCCCCCTCAGAATTAGTTTAAACCCTTCCCCATAGCACCAGTTAACCTCCCTGTGAGTTCATTGACCCCAGCCCTGTTCCAGGTGTAACCCATCCACCTTGTACAGGTCCCACTTGCCCCAGAACTGGTCCCAGGAACCTGAAGCCCTCTTTCTACACCATTTCTCCAGCCATGCATTCACGTGTTTGATCCTGCTGTTCTGGTACTCAGTTGCATGAGGTACTGGGAGTAATCCAGAGATCACCACCTTTGAGGTCCTACTCTTTAGCTTTTTCCCTAGCTTCTGATGCTCTCCCTGTAGGATCTCAGCCTTTTTTTCCCTACGTCATGGATCCCAACATGGACCACGACTTCTGGATGTTCCCTTTCCCCCTGTAGAACATTTTGCACCCATTCTGTGATGTCTTCAACCCTGGCACCAGGAAGGCAACATACCATGCAAGAGTCATGTCTTTGGTTGCAGAAACGTCTGTCCACTTCTTTCACTGTTATGTCCCCAATGACAATTGCATTGACACTCTTCCTGTCCCCCTGTGCATTCATTTGCATTTGATTCCTCTCCTCAGATGTGTCATAACCCATAACCGGTATTCAGTACCTCCTGAAATGTTCAATCCATGAACTCTTCAGCCTCTCGTAATCTATGTAGTGACTCCACCTCTCCTTGAGCTCAGAAACTCTGAGCTCGAGCTCAGCAGCTGGAGGCACTTCCTACACACAAGTTTGTCCAGGGCACACAAAGCATCCTGGAGTTCCCACATGGCACACTTTGTGCATTTAATCGTTCTCAGCCTCCCTGTCACATTACCATTATCGTGGAGTCCTGTAGCTCAGTGGTTAGAGCACTCGCTTTGTAAGCGAGAGACCTGAGTTCAATTACTGGCAGGGCGAAACCTTGGGCAAGGTTCCTTACTCCACACGCCTAATAATAATCCCTCCAAAACCCAAAACAATAATAAATTGGTCATTTTCAATCTACGACTGTTTGTGGGACATTGCTGTGCGCAATTGGCTACTGCGTTCGCCCACAAATATACAGTCAATTCACTTTACAGTGTGTTCTGTGAAGTGCTTTGGGACGTCCTCCCAACGTGAAAAGCGCTATATCAAATGCAAGGATTATTATTATTATTACCAGACATGTTTTATATTACTTTGATATAAATATTATATAATTTATAATTATACACCCTTTTCCCCCTCTGCACTGAATTGCAACTCTCACCAAATTCCTTAACAGAATTCTCACTCTGTTCCACCTCACTCAGTTCCCTTCTCACGCACCTAGGCTCTTTGTTCCAATTTATAATTAAGGCCTGTGTTATCTCATTATTAGCAGGACTAATATGTAGCAAAATACACTTACTTTGTTCCCCACCTTAGATAATTCAGAGCCGGTACAGACATGATGAGCTGAATTGCCTCCTCCAGAGCTGTAAGGTTCAATGATTCTATGATTTATTTTACAAACTTGCTTCCAAAAATAAATAGGAATTTCTGATTTTAAGTCAAAAGTCACCATTTACGTCACCATTTTTTATCCCCCAAAGCATGCATTGCTAATTGAATGGAGTTATTATTGAAAGTAAGGATAAGTGTTTGAAATTGTGATAGTATTTTTCTGCCAGGCATGCTGGTTAAATAGATGAATTTAACCAAATGTTCACATTGTAGGTGGGGAAGACTGGAGCTTACCTGCAGTTCCTTAGAATTCTCTTCCGCATGCTGATAAGGTTACTCGAGGTGGATGTGTACAATGAAGAGGAAATTAATGAGGGTAAGTGTATTTGTTGGTTTAGTAATGATGACGTTAATGTACTCACAAATGCTTGTTTATTGTTGGTCTAGCATAGACTAGCATAGACTGTTGAGGGATGGTTCAAAAGAATAAAGTATTGAATTTCTAGTGAATGTTACTTATGTGTGGCAACTTTGACGATGCAATGATTATAATGGGGAAATCACATACAGTAGACACCCGGTTTGCGGTCACCTCAGTAATCCAGCCACTTCACAATCGCGAGCACATTTTCACAGTCACTTTCAATGTCAATGTTAAAAGATAGTCTGTCTGCTTCTGTAAACCGGGCAGCTCACTATTCAGGGTCATTGATTGCGGCCGCTACAGCGCTCTCCTCTGCTTCAAACTCGGTACAACCCCCTCCCGCCCCCCCACCCCAGCTACTAACCTGTACAGTACACAGTGTGCTAGGGCTCAGACTTCTTGAGCTGTTTCCTTGACACTGCTACTATGGGTGGAGTGGGAGTTGGGATCGCGGTAGCGGAAAATTGACTTTGCTCGGCTCCTGAGGCCAATTCTTGGTAAGTGCTGTAAACATGCCTCCACGGAAGGAGTTGTCATTGTGTGAGAGAGTGGACTTAATCAAAAACAGTGAGGGCAAAAGTCATAGACAGTTAGCTGTGATCTATGGCATTGGCAGAACACGAGTTGGATGCATTCTTAAAAGGTAGGCTGAATACATGACAGCTTTTGTTTTAAATGTGACAATTCCTTTATTTTAATGAGATTGCAAAGTATGGTTGTTGAATGTTCATCACCCTTGCCCATTACCAATACCCTTAACATTACATCAGTGACCTGAATCACCCAACTTGTTTCAGTAATCAGGTCACCTCACTAAGTAGGTCCCTTGATTGACCAGATTAGTGAGTTTCTACTGTATTTAGATGTCAACGTTGTGAATGTCATGTACTACATGTAATTACTACATGTAATTTTGTGCAAAATTTCACCCCTCGGGACTGCAACAGGCTTAAAATGCTGAAATACCAAAACAATCCTTCTCGTCAACCTCCTGTTCAGTTACAGATGCAAATCTGGTCGTGTCTGCTATAATTGTGGACAAAAGAAAAATGTTTCAGGTTTTGGGGAAGCTACATATAAATGCTGCACATTGTGTAAAGGCAGAAATAATTTGTAGTAAAGTCATAAAGCATTGTTAAATCTAGTAGCTGATGAGAGTTGAGAATCATTAAGAATTGGATATAGACTGAAGGTCACAAACAGGCTGTTTGAGTAGAAGTCTAGACAGCACTGCTCTGCCCTGGCTACCCAAAAACAAACATTAAGTGAGAAGAGCAAAGTCCTTGTCTGTGTTTTACAAGATTTATTTTGTTGGAGGAGGAGGGAAACATAAATTGACTTTAATTCAGATTGGCTACAGACATTTTCTGTCATCTGCTTTGTTCTCTCGGTTCTCCTTTTAAAAACTTGACTTTGCTTTTCCGTATGAAAATGTTTGTATACTAAAATATGAACTTCTGTTTCAGAGCTAACGGAGAAGAGTGAGCATGTGCAAGAAGTTAATGCACAGTGGCCTGACATTGAACTCTTCAGCAAAATGACGTTTGACCTGACTGTGCATAATCCAAGATATCGCTACATCAGTTCAGTATACACAGACAAACAGCCAAAAGTTAAACTAGGTCAGTGAGTCTTTACATAAATAATATGATTGTCTAAGATAGACCATTTAACTGCAGTCAGATTAAATATGGATTTGCGGTCTGCCTAATAAATGTCTTTGTACATAACACAATTTAAACAATTACACTGACTTTTTAACCATGATTTTAAATGACTGAAAGTTCTTAATAGGTGTAATAGAGCATTGAGCAGGGAAAGGGGAGATTTATCAGTGTTGACCAAAACCACAGTTGAAATTGAAGCGATGGTTTTAAGAGTGTTTTCAAAGCAAAGGGGGAGTGAAACCAGAGCTTTAGGATAGAATTCTAGAAGACAATTTTAGAGTCTGAAGGTTTGGCCGTGTATAGCTTCCACTGTATGAATATTCCTTATTAAGATATCTGAATATTCTGTTTGTTTATCCTTCTGCTTACTGCAGGATTTTATTCCACCAATAGGTTTCCATCGTAGAAATGTATTTCTTAAATGTTTTCCTTGATTTACTTATAACAATTATTGCATTTGATGTAGTGCATTACATCATAAATCTCTCAAAGAGCGTCATAGGGTTTTATTGTAAAGTATAGTGATCATGTAGGCGAACATGGCAGTGAATTTTGCAACAAAGCTTACAACCATGAAGTCACTGACCAATTTTATCTGGGGGATTGTTGGCCATGATACTAAAAAAAAATTCCCCGATCAATATGATCTTTTAACATCCACCTGGATAGATAGATGGGACCTTGGTTTAACATCTCATCTGCAGGACAGTATTTCTAGCAATGCAAAGGTAAGAGTGCTACCAACCAAACCAGGTTGACTCCCAAAGTTCTGTTTTGTGTCTGCAAGAGCTGACCTAAATCTGCCCACCTAAAGGTGTCCCGGCTAACAATCCTCCAGATTAATCGATCATTCACTCAGCTGTTTGTGAGGAACCTGTGTGCAAATTAGCTGTCACATTTGTCTACAAATACACAGTCCTACACCTGACAGTAATTACTTGTGAAGAGCCTTGAGATGGTTTGATGTTACAGGTGCTGTTATTAAACACAAGGGTTATTGCGGCTATTAACTCTTCTGATCTATTCTTCTGATCTCAGCCAATACGACTCAGTGGAGTGGATAAGGCACAGCTCAGTGCCAAAGCCTCTCCTTAAAACTCTGTACAAGTCTTGGCTAGGCTGTCAATCCTTGATAAGATTACTATTGAAAAGCACCACAGGAGTTTCTGGTGGATAAGATTTTTGTTTATGCCTCAAATAATAATAATAATAATAATAATAATCCTTGCATTTGATATAGTGCTTTTCACGTCGGGAGGACGTCCCAAAGCGCTTCACAGAACACACTGTAAAGTGAATTGACTGTATATTTGTGGGCGAACGCGGCAGCCAATTGCGCACAGCAATGTCCCACAATTTTGTAGATTGAAAATGAACAGTTTATTATTGTTTTTGATTTTTGGAGGGATTATTATTAGGTGTGTGGAGTAAGGAAACTTGCCCAAGGTTTCGCCCTGTCTGGAATTGAACTCGGGTCTCTCACTTGCAAAGCGAGTGCTCTAACCACTGAGCTACAGGACTCCAAATCCATGAGCTTTTGAAGCTACCCATTAATTCCAAATAGCCATCAGAAATCGTACAGTTTCATATAACTTATCTACGTGTGAAACCCTCTTCCAGATAATATCCCCTGGAAATCACCTTCACTTTGCTTTACGGCAAAAGATTGTTAACAATGGCACATCTGAGTCTACACACTTCATAGTCCTGGTGGGACATTGTTCTAGCGGGATGTTGTAGATGCAAATTGAGTGCTGAATTTGCTTACAAAATACACAGTTACTGCAATTTACAGTAAATCCTGTGAAGATCTTTGAGGCTTCCTTCTGGCGTGAAAGGCACCATATCAAATGCAAAGATTATCACTGTTAGTCATAGTATTAATATTATTAACTCTGTCCTGACACGTATCTGCCGTTGTGGTTGTGAGGCCTATCTCAAAATGTTGGCCTTTACTGTGTGAAGACTGGACCCTGGGATGAACAAGTAGATCATCTCAAATCCAGTGATTTCATGGCTTTGGATGGTCCTGCGTTCAGCAGCAGAAATGGATTTTCTGGACAGCCTTATCAGCTCTAGGTTTTATCAGAGAGTGATGTTAGTTAGTCGTTTAGTTACTTTTAGGGTTTATTGGCCAGGACCAAGACAAACTCCTTTCTCTTTTCGAATTGAGTCAAGGGATCTTTCGTAATGTCCCACAAACAGCCTTTAAGCCTTTGACCAATTTTGCAAATTCAGCAAAAGAATGGGGTTGAGTTTCCTAGTTTGAATTTTTTTAAACCCCAATCTGGTGAGAAAATTAAAAAATCAAACAGTATACCAGGATATAGAGCTCGAGCAATAGATCGTAAATCTACTGAAGATACACTGCTGCGGAAAAACTACAGAAAAAAGGGGACACGATTGATCCTAAAAGGCTAAAATTCTTATCCACCATTTGAGGTTATAATGAGGGAAATCTGATTAGCAGTTGTCACTGAAGGCACTATGTGTGACACCATCTGAATTGTAGCCCACAAATAGATACGGGGTGAGTTAAGAATAAAAATGAGAGAAACTTAAAATCTACTGTGTGAAGAAGGGGGTTTAAGGGGCTTTAATATATTAAATTATATAGATGCACTAAACCTAGACCATTATTTGAAAATACAGCAAAAAAACTTGCATTAAATAAGCCCCTTTCACCTAAGATGAACGTCTCACAGAAGGGAAAGGGAGAAGGGAAGAAAGTAAGAAAAATTTAAGTGCTTTGACCTAAAGCAGTGTCAAAACGAGAGTTGTTTTTTAAGAAGGCTTTGAAGACCGGCAGAGAAGAAGCAACATGAAGGGATTAACCAAAGTTATAAATATCTGGAGAGATGAGATACCAGGAAAAACATCTTTACACAGAATGCAAAATGCTTAAAATTGTGTAACTGAAATAATAGAAGCAAAAACATTTGGATTATTCAAAGTGAAATTAGATGCCAATTTGGAAGAGTAAAGGGTCTTTCATTGTTTGTTAGTAATTTTACTGACCTTGGTGGGAAAACATGATTTTTAGCGGACACCATCCAGGTAGGCAAATTTACCAACAAATGCTAACTGCACATGAAGGTCAGTAAATTTATGGACACGCAGCAAATAACCTCATTACTGCAGTAGGTCACTGATGCTGAGCTTCAGTGACCTAAGTGCCAACCCTGACTTTTCTTATGTTCCAGCTGCTAATAAAAGGTTGCTTATTTTGTAGAAAGCAGTAAAGAACGCACCCAAGGCGATGGATTGACAAAACGAGAGACTGTGTCTATTATGCTAACCAAGTACGCTGCATACAACACGTTCCATCACTGTGAGCACTGCCATCATTATATAGACTTCAACCCTGCTGTACAGGTCAGAACCGGCTGCATGTGTCTCTCTATATAATATTTATAGTCACGTTCTCTCCATGTTGCTACATTTATTAAACCATTTTATTAATTATATACTACTCCCAAGTTGTTTTTAGTTTGTTTTAAAAAATACTTTTAATCAACTTGACACCAATATATAGTTTTTCTGGTGAGTTTTGTTTGCACTTGGTCCAATGCCATTTTTCCACCCCCATGACATTCTGCCAAAATGTTACCTTTTCCTTTCAAAGAGATTTTTTGCAGTTCTCACCACCCCTCCATGCCCTAAGGTGCAGCCAGGTAACTTATATCTATCTAGGTGTGTGCTAGTGCTTCTTTATAACTGGACTTCTTGCAGGGCTGCAGAAGTAGTCCATGTTGCCTCTATTCCACCCTCCAGCCTTAATCGTGCTGGTCCCTCGTGCCCTCCATTCCACCATCGGTGGCTCACTTTCAGCACTACATCCTGAAACCCTGGAACACTCTTTCTCTATCCCTCCGACTCGCCGCCTCCTTTCCCATCTTTAGGTTCCTCTTCAACTGTGTCTACAACAACAACAAGTTACACTTGTGTAGTGCCCATTGCGTCGGAAAGATGTCCCAAGGTGCTGGACCCGAGCTGGGAGTTTAAGTCAGGAGGGGTGGAGGGCGTGTGGGTGGGAGGGTGGCTGAAGGCACCGTCGAAGAGGAAGGTCTTTAGACGGGACTTGGAGGAGGCAAGAGAGGGGGTGAGGTGGGGGGATTACGAGTTCAAGAGTGTGGGGACAGAGAGGCTGAATGCCTGACCACCAATGGTGGGGCAGGAAGTGCGGGGGACCTAAAGCCAGCTGATGTCCGCTAAGCAGAGGGAGCTGTCAGGCTAATATGGGGTTAGGAAGTCGGAGAGGTAGGTGGGAGCAAGACTGTGGAGGGCTTTGAAGGTGAGATCGAGGGTTTTCTACTCGATTCTCTAAGGGATGAGGAGCCAGTGAAGCCTGGCAAAAAGAAGGTGATTGGTTTGCTGAGTCTGATGTGGGAGAGGATATAAGCTGCAGAGTTCTGAATAGTTACGGTCACCTCCCTCCTCGCCCTGGCTCGGTGTCATGCTCCACCACGGTCAAACGTCTGGGATACTACCCTGCGTGAAGGGAACTATATGAATGCAAGTTGTTGTAATTTGTTCCACCCCAGATCAACTGGCTAGTTGTGCTTCTTATCCATGCTTCTTACTACTATACTGGAAAAAATATAGCTGATTCTGCTTCATTTTTTAACAGTAGCAAATTGATTGATCTGGACTCTGGGATATTCTGCTCTGCTTACTAAGTGTCCTAGCCAGCAATCTTTGGGACATCCACCCGACGTGAAAGGCACTGTAAAAAATGTATTTGTTGTTGTTGAGATGCCTCAAAGCGCTTCACAGGATACACTGCAAAGTGGATTATCTGTGTGTTTTGTGGGCGAAACCTGGTAACCAGTTCACACAGCAATGTCATAATAATAAGTGAACCCATGTTCTACTGAATTGCCCTGTATATTCAATGTAATTGTCGTTTTGTGTGATAATGAGGCTTGGCAGCAATGATTTGCAATGTAACAGCTGGATATACGTAAATGCAAAGGCTCAGTGGTGGTCTAGACCTCTGATCTTCCTGTTGTGTTTCAGGTGTCTGACTCCACACTACATGCGTTCACCTTTTCTTCTTCCATGTTGGGAGATGAGGTACAGCTTCATTTCATCATCCCCAAGTCAAAAGAGCAGCATTTTGTCTTCAGCAAGCAGGGTAAACACTTGGAGAGCATGCGGCTGCCTCTAGTCATAGATAAGGTGAGCTCCTTGGTAACCTCAGCAAATGTTCCTATGATGGGATTTAAGTGCTCGTATCCGGAATAACACATTGGTGGAAGGCAAGATTGGTTATTTCTCTTCTGAACTTCAGGGTGGGCTAACCTACTTCCGTTCTACCATCCTCTTCCTCTCCATCATCCTTCCCCTCCACCCCAAACGGTGAGATTCCTCATTAAGGTATTTTATCCCTATTACCTTCTACGTTCTTATTTTACATCATGATCTGTGGCAATCTTTTTTCCAATGAAAAACGGAACAACTGTGAATCTATTTCTTAGATTTTAGAGATCGAGTCCTAAGGTGCAATGTCCAAATTTGAACACCATAAATTACTGACATGTTGCACGGGATTAAAAGATCTCTTTAACTTTCAAAAAAGACCTGCAAATTTTCTCTCCTGCTCTCATGAACACACCAATTCATGATGCGGTACTCCAGTTCCATTCAGTTGTGTCTTGCCATTTGCTATGCGTGAGGCCAGTCATTGAGCACTTTGACACATCTCGAAGATGTGATAAGGCGTTATATCAAATGCAAGGATTGTTATTATTTATTATTCTTAAATGTAAGCAGAGGCTAGCTGACCATGGTTTGTATAGGGAGGGGCAACTCAGCCATGTCCAATGCTATCCGCAATCCATATCCACACTAATGTACAGTAGTTTATTACAGGGAATCATTGGTTAGTAACTAGAGGTCCACAATTTCACCCAGCTTACCATTTAGCCATTTTGTCGTAAACCTTAAGATCCCTTGGAGTTAAGATCATTAGTTTGTATTAAATTGGAAACCAGTTTTCTGGAGTTCTTAAAATCAACTGGCTTCCAAATTAAGACTGAAACTAATTCTTCCCCCCAATTTTGCATGATCTTAAAATTTCCGAGGAATGGGAGTCGTTTCTGTCTCCCTAGCCCAAGAGCCTAATGAAGAAATTAATTTTAGTTTGTTGAAGCTTGTAATGCAGTCAATTGAGTGTATGAAATGAGCAAAGAATGATTCAGAACTGTGTACATGTTTCAAAATCTATAGTGCCCATTCCCACAAGTTACTGCCTTTGCTGGTGGCTTCCATTGCGATTTCTTCAAGTTTGGTAATTTTACCAACCTCAAGTATTTCACCTGCCCAATTGTTATGTCTATAAAGTTTTAACATAGTTAATGGCATTTTATTAATAAATTAGCAAAATGAATTTGATCAGTAGTTGTTGACAATTCCACCCAGGAAATGTATATAAATCTACATAATGTTAAGACCCCAATTTACTGGGGTTTTGTAAATATAACATTAGATGACGTTAACATTACATTTGATGTAATTGCTTTTATTTAGCTGTATTTCCTTTTATATGTTTTGGCAGAATCCAAGTTTAGTGAAGAGTCCTATCTTTACACCTACCACAGGGCGGCATGAGCACGGCCTTCTGAACCTCTACCATGCCATAGAGGGTGCAAACCACCTTCATGTCCTCGTAGTTAAAGAATACGAAATGCCTCTCTACCGAAAATACTGGCCTAACCATATCATGTTGGTATTGCCAGGCATGTTCAATGGTGCAGGGGTTGGTAAGTAATGCCAGCTTTTGTGTTTTCTGGTTAAATAGAGAATAACATAATGGGCAGTATGGTTTCTCAGAGAAGATTGACTGATGTTAAACTGCATCACTTGAGGCTCATTGTTCACAAGATTTAATAATTTTTCCTATAGCTGATCTGTCATGTGAAAACTTCTAGTAAGGCACTTTTTCCTAGATCTATGATGCAAGTTATTGGAATTCAAAGTTATTTTGTGTATTTCTGATTTCAAGTTGCTGTACAGCTTAGAATTCATCCTCATTTAATATGTCAATGTGTTTAAGGATTACAAATCTTAAAATGGTTAAAATTGTGGGAATAGCATATCCTTGTGAGAATCGTATGATTCTTCCCCTCCATATTTATGAAAGACACAAAAGTGTTTTATCAATATTCGTATAATTATTAATAAATAAATAATATTCCTTGCATTTGTTATAAGGCCTATTACATTGGGATGTCTTCCCAATGTGTTAGGTCTTATAACAAATGTAATCCTTGTATTTATTAGAAGACTTTTCACATTAATAGTAATCCTTACATTGTGAGTTTATATTGCAGTGCTTCACAGGAATTTACTGCAAATTATAGTGACTGTGTATTTTGTAGGCAAATACAGCAGCCTACATGGCACAGCAATGTCCCACAAACAACCAAAGTGAAAGGCCAATTTTATTTGCGAGGTTCATTCACTCATGGCTGTCAGTATGACATTGCTGTGCACAAATTGGCTGCTGCGTTTGCCCACAAGGTACAGTTCACTCCACCTCACAGCATATCCTGGAAAGTGCTTTGAGACGTCCTCACAATGTGAAAGGCACTATCACAAATGTAAGGATTATTATTATAAAATTATTTGCAGTTAAAATACATCTCAGGTGAATACATTGTCAGAAGTGTGATGGCTACAAAACTGGATTTGATTTTTTTCGGGTTTATACTTTCAATGTCAGGGGCAAAGGATGTTTTGTTTTGTATGCAGAATAAGGCAGTGTAATTGTGTAATGCCCTGTTTGTTAACTGTCTGACATCTTCAGGCACTGCCCGTTTTCTAATCAAAGAGCTGTCATATCACAATCTGGAGCTGGAACGAAACCGTCAAGAGGAGACTGGCGTCAAACGGCAATGCGTGTGGCCCTTTATACTTATCATTGATGATTGTTGTGTCCTGTGGAATGTTCACAACGTGGAGGAACCGAGCAGGTAAGAGAGGCAAATGCAGCAGTGGGTTCATAGCACTCAAGACCATTTCCTTTACTCCAAAATGTGTCTTAACAGAACCTGTTCATTTACAGCATATAATCATAGAAAATTCACAGCACAGACAGGCCATTAGGCCCACCGTGTCTGTACTTGTGCTATCGACTCCACTTTACTACATGCAAGTTCCAATCTGTTTTGACAGTTTCAGATTTATTTTCCCTGATTAATGTTTCTGTACAAAATGTAATTGACCATTGGAGTCCTGTAGCTCAGTGGTTAGAGCACTCGCTTTGCAAGCGAGAGAACTGAGTTCAATTCCAGGCAGGGCGAAACCTTGGCCAAGTTTCCTTACTCCACATGCCTAATAATAATCCCTCCAAAAACCAAAAACAATAATAAATTGGTCATTTTCAATCTACGACTGTTTGTGGGACATTGCTGTGCGCAATTGGCTGCCGCGTTCGCCCACAAATATACAGTCAATTCACTTTACAGCGTGTTCTGTGAAGCGCTTTGGGACGTCCTCCCGACGTGAAAAGCACTATATCAAATGCAAGGATTATTATTATTATTATTATTGGGGAACGGAGCAGTGTGATTCCAGGGACACGTGCACTATACTATGACACTGATGAATGTTTGCTTTAAACAGTGAAACAATGGAGGCAACTGTGTCCACAAAGAATGTTTCCTTAAAGACCATCCTCCAGCATATTGAGGCCACCCCGAAAATCACACATTATGCACTTTGTGGGATTCAGAAGTGGAACAGCAGACTGAATACTGGCAGACTGAGGAGCCCCTTTTCTCAGTGTCACATACATGATTTCATATTGCTGAATGTTGATCTGACACAGAATGTGCAGTATGACCTCAACAGGTAAGTTGAACAGAATAACCCTAGCCAGACTGGGCATTCACCGACTGTTGGTAGAAGTATAGAGATTCACATGGATGACCACTTTGTATTCATAGAGAGTCGGTGGTGAGGAATGTTTTGAGTTCAATCATATTCACTGTTGTCAAGCTGTTAAAAACATAGAAAAGATGAAGAATTTGATGTCAGCAGTTTTACTTTCTGTATTTTTTCTCCTCTGGTTATTTTCTGTTGCTTTACATTACAAATTAACAATGGCTTGTAGTACTCAGTCTTCTAAGTGGTGAGTGACGATCTGCACAAAGCAATATAAACCAATTATTCTGAAGCAGGAATTCAAGGGAATTCATATTAATGGTATTACATACATCTTCACTTCTAATGAAGGCTCACACCGAAGCTTTAAATCATCAGTCACATCGAAGCTTTAAATCATCAGTCTCTTTTAGACCCCGATGAAGTGCTATGCATTTTCTGTTTTTATTTCAGATTTTCAGTAAACACACAAACTGACTGGGTACCAGCAATATTAACAGTTCTTGAGCCATTACTTCCAGCCAGCTTAAGCATGGTTACTTTTCACAACATATAACTATTTCTTGCAAATACGTGGAGGGAGGAACTCTACTTTTCATTGCATAACTTCTTATTTATAAATATTATGGTTAGTTGTACTTGTTAGTGGGGTAGAGCGAGTTACTAATAACAGGCTGGCTTGTGACTGACTTCTGTCACGGAAACCATGCCAATCATTAGTCTTTTGCCTGGTTGACTGGAGTAGCAGAACTAGCACTGTTCAGTTCTTTCACAAAAACCCAAGCCCTGATGACCTATAAGAGGGAGCTATTCATTTGAAATCTTGCAGAACTCTTCAGCTCAGGATGTGCCATTGTATGTCCTCAAAGAAAGAAGACTGCTCTGTCAGTGCCTCGAGTGGGGAAGCAGACTGTAAAGGATTGGCATTGTTATTGACCCATATGTTTCTGCTAGGTACACCTGTGAAGATATTGACTTCAACTTACGGACGAACAGCAGCGGTTTGCTCATATGTCGATTCAATCACTTTAGCCTTATGAAGAAACACATCCAAGTGGGGGGACATAAAGACTTTGTGATAAAAGCCAAGCTGATGGTAAGGACTATCTTGTCCTGTCGTCTCTTCCAAATGCAGACTTTCTTGGAAACATTTGCCATATCATTTGTAGCCTCGTAAAATGTGTAAAAGTTGTCAGTTTTTCTGCCTTTGTACTGTTTGCATAAAGCAGGGGAGTGAGCTTACATTTTGAGCTAAAGATGTGCTGCCTCCAGAAAGAAATGATTCCCATTCATATACACTGTAGTAGCGTTCATGGAAAATATCATCTCAAAACACTTCACAAAATGAGAATTCAACAGTTATTTGAAATGAAGCAAGTGTTATTATGTAGGCAAGCAGCTGGTAACTTTCCCTAATAAGGTCCCACAAATAACAAATGAAATGAGCAGTCAATTTTTTCAGAACAAACTTGCATTATTTGGAATGGATTTGGATGAGAGGGATATTAGTCTGGACAATAAGGATAAACTCCCCAATCTTTAAAATAGACACATCGTTCAATTTCCACCTGAATGATAAAGATTAAGGCATATTGAATTAAAGACTCGATGAAAAAATGGAGAATGATCTGGCATCAATAAATAATAATTGCACTTAATATAGTGACTATTTTAAGACTTAAGACCGACTTATCACATCAAAAAGTCTCTAAAGTGTTTATTAGCAGGAGTTTCTTTGAAGTGTAGTTCTAAGTTGATTTTATTTAATGAATCAATCAATGTGTGCCAATAAAGTCACACAAAAGCACAATGAAATTGGCCACTTAGGTATTCAGATGTATCGTTATCAGATTTACTGAAACCATGCACAGTCACATGCTAGGCTGCAGGTAACTGAGATATAGTGTGGAGTGTATAAGGCAGGGTAACAGAATCATTTGGGAATAATTTATAAGCTATTTTCTTCTTTCCCTATTTTCTTAGACGACTCTCCCCTGTGCACAATGCCACACGGAGAAGTGACCAGATCTGAGATCACCCACTATTGTAGTTCTGAAGTTGTCACTAGGAGGTGTCCTGAATGCCTCTTTAATTCCACCTCTGTCCCAACCCTTTTCATAACAGTTTCTTTGCTGAAGAGAATTCTGTCGAGGGTGCCTTTTACCACTCCACCATTTCATGTGGATAAATTCAGAGCATTGAGATTGATTGAAATGTTGGTTTCTGTGCTAACAGGTGAGCGACAGCCTGAATATGATTTCAGCCTCACAGTACGTCTGTGCTCCGGACAGTGAGAGCACCCTCTTAGCTGCTCCTGCCCAGTTCCTTCTAGAGAAGTTCCTACAACAAGCCAGCTACAAGCTCTTTCCTAAGGCTGTGTGCAACAACAAGAACCCAGTCTTGGCCATTGATACCTACTTAAACCTGGGACCTGAGGTGAGTCGATTCCTAAAGGTTAGTAAATAAATTGCACAGATCAGTGAGAATGAACTGTTTAGTCATCTCTTATCTGATGACTTCCTTTCACCGCTGTACAATTACCATTTGATGTGGCTCCTGCCAGAGTCTCCTGTGCAGTAGAGAGGGTGCAGTTTGAGAGCAGCCTATACTGTGGGATATTACTGCAGCAGCATATAGTGAATAAGGTGCATATTAAGCTGAAGCTTTTTTGTCACAGGATAGGGGGGAGGCGGGATGGGAGGCCTGTACTGGGGAAGACGCGAGCAACCTCCAGGTCCTTTACCGGAGGCAAAATGGATGCTGAGTCTCTTCCAACAGATCAATTTGACGAAGTGCGGGAGGCCATAGCACAGCCCTCCAATACACCAGAGACCTCTGCGACAGCATAGGGCGGTAGACCACGACGCGGCTATCCAACACACCAGAGGCCTGTGTGATGCATCTGAGCATGTGCGCCCAACATCCGCCCAGCACTCGCACCAGTCATAGCGCCTTCTTATGGCCCCGGAGGACCTATGCCTAACTCGCCATTCCTGATGACTCGTACTGAGCCCTTTTCCCTTGGGGTGATGAGTTATGCAGAGTTTACTGTAATTCTGACATGGAACTATTAACAATAACCACAACAACAACAACTTGATTAATATAGCACCGTTCACGCGGAGTAGCGCCCTGGAATTAACCTATTAACCTGGATATTGGTGCTGCTACATTTCATGTTCTTTCCTATTCTTAGGTTTCCCTCTGTTATATAAGTTCCCGTCCTCACTCAGTGAACATAGCCTATGAGGAGGTGTTATTTGGTGGACTTCTCCTTTACCTCTGTGACTCCTTTGTTGTGGCTGATCTCCTCAAGAAATTTACTTTTCTTAAAGGTAATGTGCCATTGTTCCAGGCTATACATGGTACTAAGTTAGATTGTGTGGGATAGCCAGAAAGCCCAAATGGCTGACACCTGACCTTGCTTGTCTCTATTGGAAGTGCATTCTCAGTTTTTAGATAAGTTCCTTTCTGTACCCTTCATTTTGTTTGTTGTAAAACTTAGGTAAAAGCTTATGGCTCAGTGCATAACGCACGGAGGTGGAAAAGGATAGGAAAGAAAGTAGAAAAATGGTTTTGACAATGCCCCATTTAGAGGCTTAAAGAACGTAGATTGCGAAAGATTATTAGAGTGTTACATGGAGGGAGTAGAGAGAGGGATTACACAATGTGACGGGAGAGAATACAGAGAGGGAAAAGGTAGAGAGGGGCATTACACAGTGTGATAGAGAGGGAGTAGTTCTGGCAAGCAACTCAGATGCTGCCCACCCTTTTATAGTTGACATCTTGTACACCAGGTGATCATAGATTAGCACCTATTAGCATACCAGTGTGTGAGTGCACTACCACCACAAGGTGGGTTCATACCTAGTATTTCTCACCCAGGGCGTTCCTCTTTTCAGCCAGGCAGCAGGGAGAGGTAGCACACTAGTGATACCTCGAGCTTCACCATTGAGAAGCGTGTCAGGGGAAGCTCTACATCAAGCAGATATGATCAATGTCAGATACTCAATGGGCACATTTTTATTTCCAGCAAATTGACTATTTTGGAATTGTGTACAGAAGTGAGTTGGTTGTTTCAATTGCAATGAATTGATGTGAGGAGGCTTAGAATTGATGGAGCTTAAGGCATCAGTGGGGTTGGTCTCTATGTGCAGTGCCTGTGTGATGGTGATTAAATATGACTTGTGTTTGCAATTGAAGGTGCCACCCTTTGTGTCATTTGCCAAGATCGAAGCTCACTTCGACAGACGATCGTTCGTTTGGAGCTAGAAGATGAATGGCAGTTCCGGCTCCGTGATGAGTTCCAAACAGCCAGTAGCAGTGATGACAAGCCACTTTATTTTCTTACTGGACGGCATATTTAAACTCACATGGATGGCAAGAAAAGTCAAAGAAGGTGATGGGTCGATGGGAAGAGGGCAAAAGTGGCACAATTGTGCAGCAAAAATCAGCATTTGGTTGGGCGGTCTGACCATGGTCACTTTAACAAGCAATCATATCAGAACAGAGAGGATGCCTTTGGGATTAAAATGGGATCCATTCTAATTTCAGTTTTTTTTCCAATAACTCCAGAGGAGAGTGCACTGTGCAATTTGTGAGGAAGGGCTTTTCCTACAAACACGGTGCATCAACCTATTGAGTGTGCCGGAAGAAAGCAGAGTAAAGCTATAGAGTGTTGCATATATGTCTGGTTTTGACTCTCACTGCCCATTTCCAAATTAGGTTCTTGTGCCCAATGATGCCAAAACAAAAGTTGACCTGAATCAAAAGAAAGGTGAACTGCTATTGAGTGAAACACTTCACTGAATGGAACCAAAACAGTGGAGTGAAGACAATTGAAGATTGTATGTTGAAGATTCTCCGTCACTATTCAGACTGTACCTAGTTACAGTTAAACTCAGGGGTTTACAATTATGTGACAATGGAGAGGTTGCCTGTAATCATATTACCAATTCTACTAACTTTTTTGTAGTATATGGCTGCGTACCTATTTGTTGTGTAGTACTTAATCTCACAAAGTTCCCTAGAAAGCTCACATATCTGCTGGAACTTTCAAATTGAAGCAAATTATTAGATAAAAGTGTACAATTTCATCACATAATGATTTCAGTGAAGGAATTGCTGTAAAATTTAATGCCATTTGGTCCAGAAAAGACTTCTTACCATACACAATACAGTTCTGTGCTCATTTGTAATTTTATTTTGTAGAAATATAGCCTGCATTATATGTTCTTGTGATTCGCCCACAAATATACAGTCAATTTACTTTACAGTATATTCTGTGAAGCGCTTTGAGACGAAGATGTGATAAAACGCTATATCAAATGCAAGGATTATTATCCTGCGCAAGGCTGGTTGGTTTGAATTGCACAACCTGTTGCATGCTTTTATTTACACTTATTTGCACCATTGTTTTTATGAATACTGTAAGTTAACCATTAAACCACACTTTCTCTAAATAAGCAGGCTGAATGAGGACACAATGGTAGACTTGATGGTCAGAAACTTAATATCCTTTGTCTTTAATGTTAAATGGTAAAGCTACATACTGTTTGGAGGACGGAGGAAACACAAATTTCAGTTTCTTTTGTAAAATATGCAAAGAGTAAACCTGCACTAGTGTCACACTTCTTACTGCTGTGTGCCCTTTAATGTGTCCTTTTTCATTATTTTATTTAACTTTTCAAAGGAAATGCTTTATGGGGATATAACTGAATGTAACATAGGTCTGTCTGTATTTTATCCCCATCAACAACACGCCACACCACACAACACTTGATTATTTTAGTTTTTATACACCTATGGCAGTCCAAATTCCTACGGGGTCTTCTGTGTAAAATGATAACTTGGTTAGCAATCAAAACCAGCAAGAGACGTGTAACAGACTGAAAATGTTAAATTGGTTCCAAAGCAATTCATGCCTTCGTTCCTATCCAATCCTCCCCCTTTCACATCCCCCACATTCAATGCATTGTTTATACTGAAGACCATATCATTGAAACACAAAGTTTAGCGTAAAACTCTTTCTGCTGGGTGCCACAGTCGCTTGGCTTGCAATTTAGTAGCACAGTAATTTAGATTTGACTGAACCAATTGAAGGAAAAGCCAAAAAAGTACAACATTTTTGATCTTTAGTTTGAAAAGTGTCAGCATGATGTCAACTTCAAGCTACACAGGAGTCCTGTAGCTCAGGATTTTCAAGCGAGAGACCTGGGTTCGATTCCCAGCAGGGCGAAACCTTGGACAAGTTTCCTTACTCCACACGCCTAATAATAATCCCTCAAGAAAAAAAACCAATACTAAAATTGGTCCACTTCAATGCTCGACTGTTTGTGGGACACTGCTGTGCACAATTGGCTGCCGGGTTTCGTCTACAAATATACCTTCAATTCACTTTATAGTATATTCTGTGAAGTGCTTTGAGATGTCTAGAAGATGTGAAAAGCGCTATATCAAGTGCAAGGATTATTATTATTACACAGGCATGTAGGCTTGACCAGCAACAACATTCAGCACTCTCGAGTGTTGGTGGTGGTTGAGGGAGGAATGGAACAGAAAGACAATTCTGTATTTTTTATTACCATGAAATAGGGCTGTTCTGCTGTAAATATTGCAGACTAGAAATGAACAAGGTTGTCTTCCACCTTGTGGTCTAGTTTATTTGCCACTGCACTGTGCATGTTTTTTTTCTGGCTAAATTTTTGACTTTTGAGATTTTCAAGATCATAATTGTACAGAGGAGAATTTTTTGCATTTTTTATTTACCCAGTGTTATGTGAGCTTTATACAACAGATACCTGCCTTATGGGGTTCTTGGGGTTGAAAAGGATCACATGGCTTTTGTGTAGAAAGACAGATGACGATAATTAATATAAGGGGTAAGTTTTATTGTCACAGATCTCAGGTAGCTTTGTATTACATGAATGTATTGCTGAAGTTCAAATTCCACTGACAGGGCTTGATGTTAAATTTTGCTTATTATGACCTAGACTAGAAATACCAAAAATAAATTGTAGACCTTTCTGTATGAGATGAATTTGTATGTAACTTTCAATGGTGACAGGTACTGTGGAAAATCATGTTCTGTCTTGGTGGCGTGATTTTCAGTTCTTATGAAATCAACTTATTTAGCTGTGAATGGTGTCCTGCCATTAGCATAGCATCTGGTCCTGTCACTGATCTTTGTGCATTTTACAACTGAATGTATACTGTGTTAATTAGAGCACCATTGTAAATTCATGCTTTATATTTGCAGTGCATCATATAAATTCCTCTGCCTTTTTTACAATCGACATACTCCATATCTACAAGTTAGCCAAACTACTGGGAACTCTTTATGAGAGCTTTTAGCTGGGACAAAGTGTTTTCCATTCCTGTTGTATTATTGAGGATTTGCAGACAGGAATCCTCTGTTTTCTCTCACTATTGGATCACTTACTCTGGTGGTACTTGTGTGTCTAAGAAGCTACTAACCAACCGACCTGTGTACTTTGAATTAGATTTTTTTNAAGCAAAATAAAATGCTTAATGGTATGCCAAGTTTGAACTGGGGACAAATACATCAGCTGTGAACAAGTATTCTGTTCAGCCAGCTACAGCCCTTGACAACTCAATGCCACTTTACTAGAGGTTCCGTCATCTCCCTGTGTTTGTCAAGCCTGAAATGACAAATATTCAGTTGGAGAAGAAAAGTGAATGGAACATTATTTTGAACAAACACCACAATTTTTATCCTCTCATCGTTCCTGCATAAATTCCCATTCAAAAGCATGTATGTGAGGCGTGTTTATAAATTTCTATCTGAAAATCTCTATCCCTGGATACTGCTCATTATGCTCAGGGTGAATTTTCAGTGTACTCTATCCTGTTATAGACTTCTCGACCTGCTTATCATATCCTCCCTCTCCAACTTGCTTATTCCCCATGCCACCACCCGTCACCTCTGCTCGCTTGGCTCTGGCTTCCTGCGTGTCCCTGTTCCATCATCGGTGGCTGTGCTTTCAGCCACTACGCTCTGAAGCTCTGGAACTTTCTGCACCAATCCCTCCATCTTGCTCCCTCATTCCCCATTTTCAAATCAAACCTTAAGACCTTCCTCTTCGATCGTGCCTTCGGTCACCTCTCCCCAATAGAGTACAGATACTCAGGTTAGTATAGGCTCTCACATAAAGAGTGACCACTTGCTGCAGCCAGTGCCCAAATTAACAGTCAACATCTTTACAAAAGGAAAGAAAGGTAAACATTTCACTTACGAAAGCTGTTGAAATTGGACCAGACGTTCTGTATTGATCATCAAAATGGGTCAACCTGGGTCAAAATGGGTCAAATGCGTAATGTTCCTATATAAGCCTGGGTTGTCCCAGCTCAGTCACTAAATCCATGTTAGGAACATCTTTTAGAAGACATTGCTTATGATTCAGATCTCCAGGCGACATCTCTTGCAATCAACATAAATTAGAATTCCCTTCACAGGTTATTTACTAGGGTCTATGTCAAATCCAAGAGCTGCATACAGCACCAGTCTTATTGTACTCTAAAGTAAACATGCTTGATAGGACAGCTTGATCAACCAATGAGCAGAATGAAACATTGTTCACAAATGAAACATGAACAATGATGCCTTTTAGTTAGCAGACTCCAGTTTCATTGAATGGTGCATGTCAAGTTAATGTCCCATTGTCAAAAAGCTCAGCCAGTTTATATCCTTGTGGAAGGATTAGCTTTTTAGCAGATGGTTCCTGACATTTGAGAACCATAGCAGTGAATTCACAATTTCAGGTTAAAATGTTCCAACAAATGAAAACATCTAGCAGACGAAGAAAGTCAGTCCCAGCACGACATCAATGCCCAAGCAGCACATTTGAGCTTCAAAAACAGATTCTAGAGAAACTGGCTTCAAATGTCAGATGTTGACTCTTATGGTTCCCAATAGACCAGTTGCTGTCTCCCAATTTTTATCCTGAATGTCCTGCTCCATGTCTCCTGATACATTCATGCTACTGGACACCCAGAGGCTCACTAGATTCCAAAAACAGCTGAATGAAGATTGAAGTGACAGCGTATCATTGACAAGTGCTTACCCCAAAGTCTGATGATTGGTTATGTTACTAGGTTTACCTCAGAGGAATTCATAGTTAGAAATAAAGGATATGTTGCACTCCACTGAGGCACCTTAAAGCCAGAACAGTACTTTTCACTGTTATGGTTTCCAAGAGACCCATCTTTTTAATTTTGGATATGATGTAATTCACACAATCACTTCAGTCTTACTTTCAGTGCTTGGCAAACCAGCACTCAGGAGATTTGGCATTTGGCAGAAACATTGTTAACAATACCCTGACAAGGAAGATCATTTTTCTTTTTGATTCTCAACACTTTTTGGTTTGGTTCAATGTTCATCAAATTCAAGGCAGCAAACCTTACAAAGGGGCTGTAATTTTAATCTCTCTGTAATTTAACAGGAACAAGAAAGATCTGCTCGGTAGGTTATTCCTCACTAGTGGGTGAGGTTTTTGATATTCACGTTTGCTTGCTTTGGTGAAGAATACAAACAGCTCTGGCTCTTTTGCCCAGGGTCTGAAAGCAATCAAAACTGTATATGCTTGCTCGTTTTTTTCTAACATTCTAGGGTGCAATACTTAAGTGGAAAATATTTTTGGGACGTCTTTGCCGTCTTGAAATATGAAATTCTCTTGTAAGCTCAACATCCAGAATTGTTCAGCCAGAGTTACAAAGATTCGATCTCTGGTAATAACCTTCTTAAGCTGGCTTCTTAATACTTGGTTTTGTAAAGGATATTACATTTCTTATTTTAGATAGTAAACTGAATCTTGGAAAATTGTCTCTACCTATTATATCTGTTTGCATTAGAATATTAGCCTTTTCTATTTCTGGCTGATTAAATGTATTGCACTGTTGCTACTGATTCCTCTCATGCAAGAAGATTCATGGTCACTATATAAGTCAACTTTCATTCCTAACAAAAGATTATGCATTTTGGCAGATAAATGTTTGCATCTTGTAGTAAGATGAACCTTCATTCACACAGTGGACACCCCTTTGGGAGACATACTTGTCTTCATCCCTGGCAGATATGGACATAGTCTCTGAATTTTCACAGCTTTAAGCTATTTCTTGCTGAAGCTTAGCTGAGTTGGTCTCTGTGTGAAGGAACACAGGGGCTGAACCAGCCTCATATGTCATCCTGTTTGTGGCTTATTGCTAGACCTCTTTTGAGGTGATATAATTGTCTAGGAGGTTCTGCTACAGTGCTTCCCCAGGGTA